AATATGATTGCTAGAACTTCTTTCTCTATCTGGCTATAATTTCTCTCTTTCATTTGCCACCATAATATTTGTATAAAATCACCACTCCAACAGCTTAATCACTAGCATCTGATGCTACTACAATTTTTGCTTTTGGAATGTAGTGCACAAATGATAAATTAGACGTAAGACTTTTTTTTGTCTCGTATGCTTTTTGACATTTATCATCCAAATCTCACTTTACTTCTTTTTTTCAGCAGATTGTAAAGGGGAGCTGTCAATTTATGCATATTATGTACATAAATTCAATAATAATTAGCCAGTCCTAAAAAAGCTTGTTACGTTTCTTGGTGTAGGCATATTTTTAATTGCATTTGCAGGATCTAGTTTCCTACCATTTTTATCAATAATTTGACCCAGGTATTTTATTTTTGGCAAAAACCATTCACATTTTTTTTGCACTAAGTTTGAATCCGTATTCTCTTAGTTTTTGCATAATTGTTTTTGACATGCCCAACTTTCAATACACTCTTGATCAAAATATTATCTAGATACACCCCTGTGAAATCACAATCCATCAGCATTGTATCTATGGCTTGTTGAAAAAGAGCTTGTGCTACCTTTATACCAAAAGGAAGTCGATTAAACTTATACAAATCTTTGTGCATATTTATGGCAATTAATTCAGGACATTGATTTTCAATCTGAATTTGTAAATATGCTTCAGAGAGATCCAGCTTTGAAAATATTTTTCTGCTGTTCAACTTTGAAAAATTTTCTTCTGGACTTGGTAATAGGTGTTTTGACATAAGTATTTAATCCAGTCAAGAAATCTGCACAAACATGAATTTTGTCATTTTTTTTCTTTATGTACAACGCTTTTGAATGGTTTACTTTCTCCAACACACCAATTCTTTCTAGTCTTTTCAACTCTTCATTTATTTGTTCTAATGCTGCAAATGGTACACTCCATTTTGGTTTAAATACTGGTGTTGAATTTTTTTTAACTTGAAAACTTGCCTTGAATTTTAGACACCGACCCATTTCATTAGACAAAACATCAAGAAAACGTTTTTTTTAATTCTTCCTTCAGTTTTTCACTTTGTTTGGTAAATTTGTCACTTGTTCACTTACACTTTTACAATAAGTGTTTATCAGCAAATCCCACAGTTCAAATAGCTCCATACAATCCATATTGAATAGATTCATCGCATTTCTTAGAACATAAGCTTTTGTTTTCACCTGCTTATTTTGAAAATAAACATCACATATTAATTCTCCCTGCAAAATAATTTCCCACCAGAAACTGAAGTTGCAAATTTGTAAGTACCTTTTTAATAAAGGTTTTTAAATTTCTTTCCATGTGGTTTCATTTACTATTGAAATGTCACTACCAGTGTCTAATAACCTTTTTACTCCCACATTATTGATTTGCATGTTAACAAAATTTCTTTTATTTTATGTGACTATTTTTTCTGTCACAATATTGTGTATTAATTTCTTAATGTAAAATTTTTTTCTTAGTTTAGTTTTGCAGTGTGATTCAATGTCCTTTTTTACCATAGTTATAGCACTCAGTATTATTCCATGGGCAGTTTTTCCAAAGATGTAATTTTCCACATCTGAAAAAGGTTTTATATTCATTTTTGTACATTTTCTTCTTAGCTTTTACGAATGCACATTCTTTATTTTGAAGTTTTTCAGCATCATGCTTCAGACTTAGCATTTTTTGGCAATTGTCCTCTATTTCCTCTAGTGTTACATTATTATTATTTTGGCCAATCTTTGCTAAAAAATTTTCCTTTGTACAGCATATTTTCCGTTGTTAGACCTGGCATGAAAATTAATCCCTTGAACATATCTGGAGATATTTCCTTTAATTTAAATTGTTTGCATTCTCTGTTGATGGTACCTGCATACATGACAAAATCTTCATCCTCTTTTTTGATTAAATTCATGCACCTCCAATGAGCATGGAACAGAGAGCACTTGTCACTAAAAATTTTCGTCAGAATGTGTACTGTCTTAAACCTTATTTCACCTGATTTTATCAGTAAAATATAATTGCAGTAATTTTTTTGTACTCTTGGCACTATTTTTCTTAACAACCTGTTTTTTTTTTTTTTTTTTTTTTTTCCTAGCCACTGTATTCCTGACTAAATATATTTTTATGTTTGCAAAAATATGCAGCAAAAGTCAGTCCATCATCAGGATTGTATATGAATTCTGATACAGTGTTTTGCACTGCATCTGATGTAATAGACATTGAAGCATTCTTCTTTAAAACTACTTCCAACAACTCTTGTTGTTGTTGTTTTGCTACAGCAGCAACTGTTGGGTATTTTGCTGTTCTTGCTTCTGTTGTTGTTGAATTTCAACTATTGAAGCTAAAATTTTCTCCATATCTGCAAGAAATTTTTTTTAAAAGTCCTGTTATAATGTTGCACTTGATTTAGAGATCCTCATTGCCAACTATTATAACTCTGGTTATAATGTTGCAATTTTATTCTATGCTTGTGTATCCTTGTCACTATTATAACTCCTGTTATAATAATGTTTTTTTTTCTCCTGCTCTTGTGTTTGAATATCCTCATCACCAATTATAACTTCCTATTATGAGGTTACTGTTATAACACACACCTGTACTTGGTATAACTTAATGAATTACATTATTAAATAAATGTAATGCTTACACTATTGCCAAATGCCTGTATAGTTAATATGAAGACTGACTCCAGTACAACTACTCATAATCTCATAGTATGGAACTTTTTATATTATTGGACATGTTCATAGTATCATCGGCAATATACTCTTTACTCCACAACAGTTGGGGACACAGTTCCCTGTGGGGCATCTAAATTAATAATGTTAGTCTGGTATAGTTACCCTTTCATTGGCAAGATGTTATTTCTGGTAATAATTCTACAACTGCACTTACACACCATTTATTATAGTAGTAGAACAAAATCCTCAAAAATGACTAATAATCTAGCTGAAAGTGCTTGGAATCAACAAACTTTTGTATAATTTTTACATTCATTAAGTTAAAAAACAAAACAAAAAACTCTTGTATGTATAAATGTACATAATGTACACAAGAAAAATATACTTACATTATTTGGACTGTTATCCTCATCTTCATTGCCAAATTCACAACGGTTTAGCTGTTGTACACTCCAGCCTTCTTCAGGTATTTCAAACCAAACCCTTTATTTCGTCCACCAGGATATATTTTTATAATTCCACATGCCATGCCTCTTCCGGATGTCTCAGTTATTTCCCTTTAACTTAACTCTCCAAGTTTTGGTTCACTACTACTGTAGCCTGGTATTGAACTCACAACTCTCTAGGTCTAGTCACTGGATCTAATCAACGTCTTTATCCACTGGGCCATCTGTGCATGAATTTCTGGGATTTATAAAACTAATGTCTCAGCAACTGTTATTTTTACCAGTGCTCATATTGCAGTTTTTCTGTTATTATTGCATATTTTTTACCGGAGCTTATATTGCAATTTTTGTTGTTATTCATTGCTTTTCTCTAGCACTTATTACTGGTCCTCATATAGTGTTCATTTCTATGCTTGGTTGGTTCAAGAGATTTTTGTGGCCTAGAATATGAGCTAATTCCCTAAGTTTTCATATTTTTTCAGTGATGTTCTGTCTATTATTTCAACTTCATCCCACAAGGGGTGGGGATCTTGCTTTTTCCTCCATATGTGGTCAGCTATGCCTGATTTTTCTATTTCCCCTCAGGTTACCACTTTACACTCTTACCTTAAGTGGGTGGCCTGTTTCTCCTTTATATTTCTTACCACATCTGCATGGGATGGTGTACACACAGTTTGTAGTCATGTTCTCCTCTATGGGATGATCTTACTCAGAAGAGGTGTCTGTGAAGTGTTGAACCACTTTTGAAGGTTGTCCTGATGTCATATGGACCACAGATCTTTTGTATTTTCTTCGATAATCCCTTCACATAGGGTAGGTAGACTGAGGCTGTTTTCTGAGTGTTGTTATCTTGTACCCTTCTATCCCAGTTTGTCAGAGCTGATGTCATGTACCTGGGGTAGTTGTTACATTGTAGGGTACTGCTTATACTGACCATTTCTTGTTCATATATCTCCGGGTTGCCATTTATGACTCTTGCTTGATGTTGTAAGCAGCGGATGATCCCTTTCTTTACACTGGGTGGTGGGAGTTGAAGTTTGGGTATTGTCCAGTGAATGTAGCCTTGCAGTACACAGATGTCTTAAACCCCCTGCTCTGTTCAAGATTTTAGTACATCCAGGGAGGTTAGTTTGTTGTTTTCTCTCTCCATTGTGAACTGTATTGATGATCTTATTGAGTTTACATGATCCAGTAGTAGCTGGACCTCTTTCTGGTGTAGCCAGAGTATGAAGGTGTCATCTACATATCCCAACCATAAGGTTGGCTTTAGTGATGTGGATTCTAATGCCATTTCCTCAAAGTATTCCATATATAGGTTTGCCATTGCTGGTGATAATGGTGAGCCCATTGCTAAACCCTCATCCTGTCAATGTACATCTGATCCCATTTCAAAGTGTGTTGTTTGTGTTCAGAAAGACAGCATCTCCATCAAGTTATCTATTGGTATACTGATCTGTTCTCCTTGGGATGAGTCCGAGGCCAGTCTGTCCCTGACTACTGAGAGTGCTTCCTCTATATAAATATAAAAAAAAAAATAAACTAAAGTATCTTATCTGTCTTGTACAATGAAATATATATATATATATATATATATATATATATATATATATGCCTTGCATATCTAATTCCTCTATCCTCAATTTTATTTGTATATTTAAAACTGTCATAAATTTAAATGAGACTTTAAACTTTATTCATTCAGACAACTTTCCTCATTTTTATCACAATATTTCTGCTGGTGAGGAATTTTTTATTTTAATGAACAGTATTGAAGAAGCAAAAAAAAAGCCTGAGAATGCAAACAGTTTTGCCTTAAATTTATGTAATATATTTCTTTATTTTCTTTAGGCTTCAGAAGCTGAGATGATGTACAAGGAATGTATATTAGAAGCTAACAACAGGCAACAAGACTTGGATAAAATTAAGGTGGGTGTTCTTAATTATTTTTTCTGTTTAAAATCCCAAATGCATTTGAGGATCATTTAAAATATTCAGCACTAAATGATGTTGACTGATCTTTTTGATATTTACTCATTAAATGCCAAACAATGTTCACCACATAATGTCTCCCATTTTGAAATTCATGCCTTGTCTTCATTTTATCCTCTGCGCTGCTGGTTTCTCTCAATGGTATTATAAATTTTTTTTAGTGTTTTTTTGTTTTTTTAATTATTTTTTTTAATTATTTTTTTAATTAGTAGCTGCTATAACAAATCTGGTTACAATAATTACTGCTAATTGTTGAATATCAATTAATTAAAAATTTATGGGGCTAATTAACTACTCCTGTTTCCTGTGCTTTTGATGTAAAGGACTAATATGGTAGAAGGTGTTTAATGTTAGAGAAGGAACAATATATAAATTCATCTCCTTGTTAACCTAGAGAACCTATGCTAAGAAAATGATTACATATGACACTTCATGAATAAAAATTAATACATATATCAGACTACAAATTACTTTTAAAAAATGCAAATATTGAAAAAGTAAACATTTTAATAAAATTTCTTTAGTGAGAACAAAGTTTAGTATGAAATAAATTTTTAAAGTTATTAATGCATATGATTTGTGCAATATTTTTTGTTCCTTGTTGAATAAGTTTTTTTTTTTTTTTTTTTTTTTTTTTCATTTTTTTTATTTTCCATAAAATGTGAAATTATAGTTTGTGAAGTGAATGTGCAAAATAAATCAAAGAATTTGAAGCTATCTGCAGAGAAATTTATAAGTAATGTCTTGGCAGAAGCATCAATATTTTACTTATTGCACACAATGAATAGATTTAATGAAATTTGGTGCACTAAGGTTTTCAGTTGTAAAAAAAGAAAAAAAAGGGTTTTATATATATATATATATAGAGAGAGAGAGAGATAGGAAAATTAATAACTACTGGCCTAAATTGATAAGTTCTAAAAAAAAAAAATTGTACCTCCAATAGGAATTGAACCTGCATCCCTTTTTTCCATCATGGAACCCACATTTTGAGTCAAAAATCCTACTATAAAAAAATTGTCCATCCAACAGGAATTGAAACAGCACACTTGACTAAAGAGGCCTTCCTACTAAAAATAATGTTTATGATAATAAGAAATATATATATATAAATATAATAGGCTATCCCCTTGCTTTCAACATATGAGTGATGCTGGATCAGGACCAATAAAGATTGCAATACTTTTTGGGATTTTGTCAAGAAAAAACAAACTACAGAAGATTTCCAACAAGCTGGAAAACAAGAAACAGCAAGGCATTTATTGTAGAGTTTAGCGGAACACATTTCTTTAAGAATATTGCAGAAATGCCATTGATTACACCTTTGGGATCAAGTTTCAAGATGATAGTGGAAACCATGGATACAGTTTTATGCATATCACACAATAAAGACTCTAAAAAGTCAGGTAAATATACTCTAGATAAGTCAAGAGCAAAATTGAAAGATAATTTATGAGCAAAGCATTCTGCTTTATCAGCAGATGATAACACCTCAAATTAAGTTAAGAGAGGAAGGATTGAAAACTTACCCTTATTTAACATACTAGTACAGAGTCAGCAGTAGTCATGAGATCTAAGCTGTGAGGCTATATGTTGCTTCATTCTGTTAGTGAATAAAGATTTAGCTTCATTGTAGACACATTTGCAATTATTATGTGGGGATGCAAAAAGATGTCTGTTGTGAGCAGAATCATTATATTGGTACAGCCAGGAAAAAGGGATTCCTGTGGGCTATAGCAGCTGAACAGACAAGTGTGAACCAAGATTTTGCTAAGTATTTCTGAGATGGTACAAAAGCATCTGGTTTTTACCCAAGAAAAAACCACAGTGGCACAATTCTCAATAGGAAGGTTAAAGATTTCACTCCAAGGGACATCACAAAGAAAATCATTAAATTAATCCGAATCAGTACATTTGTAGCAGAAAAGTCTTGTGAACAGGGAGTTCATGTTGAATAAACAAGTCAAAAGAAATATTAGTGTCATCTGAATTATCCAAGCAGAGTTGCAATGTTTAACAAGAGCCAAAAGAGGAAGTAAGGAACAAATCAAGTGAAGAAGAATATTGGTTTTAATTATTCAGATACTAATAGGGAAATCTACTATTTGACTAAGAGATTGAGTAAAAGAAATATGGAAAGTCTGAATACCAATATGTTTTGATAAGAATAGGTTTTCCCACATTACACATCCCTGCCTAAAGTTGGCCATAAGGAAGAATTTTTGTCAGTCTTTCATCATTCACCCAAACAATATGACCATCCCATCTTAATTAAGACTGCATCAAGAAGGCCTCTTTGCTTTGTATATCACATTTATCAAACAATTGTTCATTTCAGACATTGTTTTTCCATGTGAAACCGCAAATATTTCCAAGGTATCTTTTATAGAAAGTATCTAGCTGTTTGATCAGCTTTCTATACAATATCCATGATTCAAATATATGTTGGGATGACAACTGTGCAATGAAATGAAATTTTGTTTTTTTAAACACAGTCCCTTCTTGTTCCAAACCCTTGCTCACAACTATCCAAAGGCATCATTATCTTTGGCAATCCTATTTCTTCTTTCATCATCTAAAGAAGCACGAGAAGTGATTTTACTCACTAAGTTGCATTATGCCTCTACTTTGGATAGATGTTGGTTTTAGCTGGTATATAACTTTTTTTTTTTTTTTTTTTTTTTTTTTTCAAACTTATTGTTAAACCATTCTTTTGCTGCAGAGGTAAACCTGTTTACAACTTTTATTGTAACTTTCTGCATTTTACCTCTGTGAATTTGGATTTTCTGCACTTAACTAACAAAATATTGAACAGAATATTCTTCCAAATTTGCCTTAAATTACTTATTTACGTGTGGGTGGCTCTGAATTCATCTTATATCTATAATTCTCAAAATGTGTGTGTGTGTTTGTGTATGTTTGATCAGATGTTGTTTATGCGTTTCCTCAGTTTTCATTCAATTTCGACAAAATTTTTTTTGTTTGATAGATAATTCTTCAGTACCAGTTTTGAGTCCAAATTGGCTGGAAAATATTACAACCTTGAAGGTGAAAAATCAAAACAACTGATTTTTACACTTTGCGCAAAAATCAAAGGATGTAAAAAAAAAAAAAAAATGCATACAATCAATTTAGATTTGAAATCTAATGCAAAAGATTAGAATTATAAAAAAAAATTATATTATAGATAAAAATTATCGTATATTATTATTATTATGGTCCATGGAAGAGGTTCCTTCCTTGCAAGGTTGAGAACGCAAAGACGGCCCTTTTCAAAGCCCCCCCCTCAAATTGTTAACCCCCACCCCCATTTGGGGATGTGCCTCAGTTGCACCCAATTGTTGTTACTAATATAGATTTTCAGGTGGGCTGACTTTAAACTGCTCCAATTGAATGGCAAAAATTCCTAGTAATGAAGCACCCAGTCAAAGATGGATTATACTGCTAGTCTTTGTCTTTCTCCACATACTTCAGCTAACTGCATACTCTTTAAACTTTGGTGGTTGTATTCCAATATATTTGATATTATCTTTATCTTTGTATCTAGGAATAGGTTTTCCCACATTACGCATCCCTGCCTAAAGTTGGCCATAAGTAAGAATTTTCGGCAGTCTTTCATTATTCACCCAAACAATATGACCATCCCATCTTAATTAAGACTGCATCAAGAAGACCTCTTTGATTTGTATATCACATTTATCAAACAATTGTTCATTTCAGAGATTGTCTTTCCATGTGAAATTGCAGATATTTTTTAAGATGTCTAAAACATAAAATGTGGACCAAAGACAGCAACACACTAAAATATATATGATTAAATATTATAGTGGTCAATGTCAAAAATACAAATACAGACCATAAAATATTAAAACCTTTAAATACACGCCTAAAATAGAGAGGAACAAAGAATCTCTATTCCTCACTACTGCCTGATGATTGCATTTCTACACATGAAACTCTCAGTAGCAGATTTATTTGGGGTGCATACTTAAAGTTTCTAAGAAATCAACAGAATTTTTATCTGATATTATTTTCTACAACTCCAAATGTTACTTTGTTGATACCCCATGTTTGAGTAGACTCTTTTTTTTTTTTTTTTTTTTTAAATGTGAATTATATCTACCGGCCTGCACATTTGATATTTGAGAGACTTAATAAAGTAAGTGTAATTTCTTCAGAGTCAGACTTATGGTTCACCAATTGTAATTCTATACCTTCCCTGGTTGTCCAAGATATTTAGTACCGTGACTGATCAATGGAGGGATCTCTTTGATCCTGACCTGCCCTATCCCACGTTGTGATTAGTTGATCATAAGGAGGCTAAGATCACTTTGTTGCAGGTATCTTCATGTTGGACTGGTCCAAGCAGAGCGAAGTTGTACAGTAAAATAGGAGAAATCAATACTCAAAATATAAAAAATATATTTATTATTTTTATATCGAGTACTGCGTACAATGGTTTCTTAATAGTTGTTAGGGTCTAGGTGTTAGCATAACCTAAATTGGACGCAACACTTGGTTAATATGGTAAGGTTTGGCTTGCAGAGTTAGTGAAGTTTGTTTAGCTGATTTGCTAAGTTTGGCTAAGTTTGGATTGTCTAGCACTTGGCAACTGGAATGGAGTCTTGGGGTGATCTATCTCCCGTCTCTCTTCTGTCTCTGAATTCACTTTGTGCATTCATATTTATTGATGCCTGTTAGGGCCCTCCAAATTCATGGGATTGTGAATCTCATGGCTCTATTTCCCCTCTGTATCATCCTGCAAAAGAGCAAAATAAAAATGAGTATAAAAATAAAAATATTTCATTCAATGCTATTGAAAATTCTGAAAAAAATTACATTTTTGAAATTTCTAAAAGTTGTGCACTGAATATTTAAAATCCTGACTTTGGACTCCAATTTATATAGCAAATGCCACAAAAATACAGAATCTTGAATACTAAACATTCCCAATATACTGCATTTTTATGACTCTTGCCAGTGATCCAGTATAGAAAACATCCATGATACTGTGGACACTAATCCGCAACTGTTAAAACATAGCAACTCAGTGCTGAATCTATATGGAATGTAATAGAAAATAGGTTAGTTTCAAGACATCAATGTCCAGGTCACAAAAACAAAGTTTGAAGGAAATAATAATTTCCTTTGCTTTCTAGACAGGAGCAATTAGGAAATAACATTTATTGACCAAAGACAAAAAATAAATCAAAATTTTTTTTATACAGCGAATAATTATGCTGTTTGCACATTTTATATTTGGCATAAGACAGTATAATAAATATGTTTATAAAACAGTGATCTCTGCTTTGGTCATAGAGATGCTGAATACAGCTCTGATATCTGTAGTTGTGCTTGTTGGAATGTTGGTTGAAATGAGAATGAAAGATGGAACTTGGGTAGAAAATTTTCTTATTTCAAATTGTTTCATCTTTCCCTACTGTATAGCATGGACCTGAGCAAAATTTCATCTCCCCTTTGATACTTCCTGATCACTTTATATGGTCAAAGCCATATAGCCTCTCTCTGTATTTAAATCATGTGATTAATTCATGTGCTTTGCCTTCATTTGACCACATGTAACACTTGTAGTGAATGCCTATGCCAGAAACTTTGAAACTGCCTATAAATATAAAATTAATAATATACTGTCAGATTTAATTATACAAGTAAATGTTTTTATAATGTTGGTAAAATTTGTATGAGCAATGTACTGTGGGAGTTGTACATAGTTGATGTGTATAACAATAAAACTGTTTTAGACATACAATGAAAATGAGATTTTCTATTTTTGTCTTTTCTTTCTACAAAAAGAACCCAACACAGGAGTTACAACCTTGATGTCTTAGTAACTGAAACAAAAACAAAACAAATTAAGTAAAATTAGTTTTTAAAAAATCACATACAATGATTGGAATAATAATATCACTAATTCTAAGTTTTATTCAAACAGTTGAACTCTTTGTTGCTGATGTTGTTATCCCAATGTTTCAGCTTACGGCTATATCATGTTGAAATTCATGTTGGGAATGCCAGGTGTTGTAAGCTTGGAAGTGTGGATGGTGTAATGATAATGTTTTAGAATTGGAAATTGGAGAGCTGAGTTCCAATTCCAGTCAGGTTCATTATCTCCATTTACATACAAATACTTCTGGGAAATGTATTAATCCACCTTCTTCTATGGGTTAATTAGGTCTTGTATCAGTAAAATCATTATCTCCAAAAAAATTATTACAATTTAAAAATATTTTCTGGCTTTAAATAACCTGCAAAAGGTTGATAAGCCCTAAAAAACAAATCAATCAATATCACAATGTTTCAGCTGATTCTTTCTGTGGCCATTTTCAAGTGTATAATCTGTAAAGAAAAAATAATTTTTAATTGCTTATTTGCAGCAAAACAAAATGACAGCAAATCTTTATTAACTGAATTAGTTTATTCTGGCAATATGAAATACACAGGTGATACTATTCACTGCAATCCAAGGTATCTTAAGTGATTCTAACTTAGTGTAGCCATATGATTCCTCACATATCCTTAGGAGATAAATAGATAAATTCTTTTTCCTTTTAAGTCAATTTAATGACCAGGGTTCTTAGGAAGATAGTCTCCAGTCCATCTTTGAGTAAATTTAATGACCCAAATTTTTCAGGAATCCTATCTCCAGCTTTGACTTGGCAAACATAAAATTTTGTTGGTGATTTTAGATAATCATAAAAGTAGAGTCCTTTGAAAAACTAACCACCCAAAAGCTGAATGGGTAGTCTCCTTTTTCAAAACACAAATGGATGGATAGTGATGGTGGGACTGCAGCCAGTATTCATATAATGAGCTAGTCATAGAGGAAGAGATCAGCATTGAGTGAGTCAGCAGTCAGAAGGTCAGGCACCGAATGTAAGGGTCCTTTTTCTGTGGCCTGAAGTTAGTAAGATAACAGTTCACCTCAAAACTGAAGGAGGACCTAGCCAATTAAGTAAGAAATCATATTGTTTGCTATTTCCCAACTAGTGTCTTGAACAGCATTTGTTGTTATTCTTTGTTGAATTCAATCATGGTCAGTGAGACAAACCTGTGAACATAGTGAGCTGGATGTATACATCTGACCTTAGATGTCATCACAGCTTGTGCAGTGACATGCAGAAACTCTTTACATTAAACATATGTATAATTTTAAGACTATTTTTCTTTACTGATTATACACCTAAAGAAAAGTATAGTGGCAACATCAACAATGCAAAGGATTTTGGTTTTCCTAAAAAAACTTAAAATATTAATGTTTTTTCTCAGTTATTTGCCTTAAATATTGTTTATGAAAATATCTTAGATTTTGAGTAACATTAAGAATAATGAAAAGCATGAATTTATTTCTTCTGAGATCATAATTTTGATAGTGTCTTCATGATCACAAATAATTTTATGTTGTAAGAAAATTAAGTAGATTGTGCTGGTTATTTGTGATCAGTGTGTTAACATTTTGATTGTGTTTTTTTTTTTACCATAACTTATTGTATATTGGATCCTATGGGAACCATATATTTTAATATATGTTAATTGAATCCCCTCTAGGCTTGTATAAAATTTGCCTCTATACATTCTGTAATTTTGAGATTTAGTTATACCAAGAATTGTTGACTCTTAAACTGATTTTTTTTTCTGTTATTACAGAATAAATCATATAGTAGAAAGAATACTCTCCCATGGAGTTACTCAGTGAGTTGCTATGGGATGCATACATTCACAATGCCACATGTAGTTTTTTTTTTTTTTTTTTCAAAATATCATATCACACAGCCTTCCTACAATACATACATATTTGGATTCCTTGAAACTTTGTTTTTCCCAAAGTTAAAAATCAATGTTGAAATACTGCAGATGAGATTAAGGTAAATATGACAATTTTAAAAATTGTGAATTGCTTTGAAAAGTGGAAAGGATGCTGGAATCAGTGTTTGAAGTCTTAATAGGAGTAGCTTGAAGAGAACTAAGGTGCTATACCCTAGGTAGGCTAAATTATTTTCATTAATATTGTATGGATGGATACTTTCCAAACAGACCCTGTACACCAGAGCTTTAAAGAAATTGAGTTATTTATACTTACATTGTTTTTTTTTTTCTTTGTCTTTCTAGGGAGATCTCTTATCCAAAGTCTATGAACAAATTTTTCTATGTGACAGTACCATCAAATCTGTAAGTATGGTTATTGCTGATCTTCATTTTCTCTTTCTACCTCTCTCACTCTTTTTATCTCTCTCTCTTTCTCTTCTTTGTGTTTGTGTGTGTTGTATATATATATATATATATATATATATATATATATATATATATATATATATATATATATTACTTATCAAAAACACCAGATTGTGTGTGTGTCTGTAACATTTATATATTGGATCGGATTTCCTACATTTTTCAACTTGATTTCAACAAAACTTCACAGGACTACATAAAATTACCTTGTGGTGGTTCTAACAACATCAAAATGGGAAAAATATAATTGTTTTTTGCACAAAATCAATTTGAAAACACGATTAAGAGACATCGTGAAAATGGAAGGGGGACAACTCACATCGGGTTGTTTGTGTGTGTATGGGTTCCTTTAAATATGGGAGCGGATTTCCTATATTTTTCAGCCAATAAAACTTCACTTTCTTTTTTTTTTTTCTTTTGGCAGGTAGTGTTTCTTATTCTCTTGCACACTTTTTTCTTTACTTTTAACATTCAGAATGCTTTAAAAATTCCATTTACAAGACAATTATTTATAATAAAATTCTATTCAATTGGGAAACTCCTAATGATTGAAAACAATGTTTTTGTTTGGGTTTGACCAATTCGTAAAAAATAAAAAAAAAACTAATTAAGACATGCGTGTCCATCAACCTTAAACAATAATCTAACGATCTCTACTGATTATGCGAATACAAACATCGGATAAATTCTTTATCTTTAGGGAAAGATAATGAAATCTAAACATACACAAGTCCTAACTAAAAATAATAACCGAACGGAAACTACTTTAAATACACATGGTGTCCAATTTTTTACTGTATTCAATAAGTAAAAATCATAAATTGTAAAAGATTATTATTACAGAAAGGCTACTAAATGAATAAGATTTGTTAGATCATAATTAATAAACCCAAATAAAGTTAATATTTTTTGTATTAGAAACGAGTGGAAAATATATTCAAATCAGAATTCTAATTATGAATCACCACAAGCAAAATATGCAATTTTTATTACTGTATTCAATAAGTAAAAATCATAAATTGTAAAACTAAAAGATTACAGAAAGGCTACCTACATTTTTCAACCGATTTCAACAAAACTTCTTTTTTTTTTTTTTTTGGCATTTAGTGTTTCTTATTGTCTTGCACACTTTTTTGCTTTATTTTTACATTCAGAATGCTTTAAAAATTCCATTTACAAGACAATTGTTTATAAAATTCTATTCAATTGGGAGACTCATAGTGATTGAAAACAATGTTTTTGTTTGAGTTTGGGTTTGACCAATTCGTAAAAAAAAAAAAAAAAACTAATTAAGATATGCATGTCCGTCAACCTTAAACAATAATCTTTGTCAATTTTATTTTTCAGTCTTTATGATGGTGGATACTTGATCTATCTCTTATTGTTATATCCCCGGGCAACGCCGGGCTCTACTGCCAGTATTTCTTTTTTTTTTTTTTTTACTAAATACTCTTGATACTACACAAACACTGTATTAAGATGGAATTTATCTGTTGCAGGTAACCGTTGAATATTTTAACTTACTTCATACAGTCACAGCACCATTACCATTACGGGTGAGTTAAATTATATAGCTTCATGTACACACATGCACATTACAAACACATTTTTTTTTTTTTTTTTAAATCTTATTCAAATTGGTTTTCAAATATTAAATACATCCAAATTCTTTTCTTACTTTTGTTGTCAAAATTAATCATATTAGATTTTTCTTCCTTTTATGTGCTTTTTAATTATAAATATTTAGTCTGCAATTGTAGCACCACATCAATCTTACAGAGGTAAGTAAATTATGACGACAGATCAATAAGACACACATATTTATTAATTGACTTTTGATCTAAAATTTTCACTATTTAACATTCAATCTATGGGATTAATATTCACTATTGAATTAAATACATTGACAAAGAAGTAGATTATGTTGAAAGATAAATTTGTTGTGGAAAATCTTTTTTCACATTAGTTTGTGGACATAATGATGTACTGATGTAGGTTAGGATGTCTAAAGTGGTGTATTCACCTATGCTATGTTAAAGTAGCAATGCTATAGTTTAATAGGTAAGAAGTTTTGTTTTGACATGGGGAAACAAATTTTGTCTTACCTGTACTGCAAGGGATAAATTTTTGGGGAACAAGGTTAGGGAGTGAGTCTCAAATCTGAAACTATTTACATTAAGACAGATATGCAATGTAATTGGCCCTGATCTGGCATCTCATCTACCATCTCTCTCACAGACGTGCCGTTACCTCCCTCTGTCTTTTTTTTACAAATACTTTCACGGTAACTGCTCCAATGAGCTGCTTTCACTGGTTCCCAGACTTCATCAATTTAAACATTCAACTAGGCTGGCATCTCTCTCTCACCCTTTCACTGTCGAAACTGTTAAATGTAGCTGTCTCTTCTACTCCAATAGCTTCATGTCTCACACTTCTCACCTGTGGAACTCCCTCTCCTTTTCTGTTTCCCTGATAGCCATAATCTTCAACTACTCAGATCTATCCCATATCCTTCTCTTCATCCTTTCCTCTATCACTCCTATTTGCTCTCACTCCAACTCTCTGTAATCCCTTGCATGTTAGTGGCTTTCCGCCTTGCTTGGGGGGAAACTCTTAAAAAAAAAAAAAAAAAAAAAAAATATTAGTCCATCCAATAACAAGGCCTCTGATCAAGAGATTGGAGGTTGTGAGGAGTGTGGAACCACCTCTTAATTGGTGTTATTCTCAGCTCCACCCTGACCTGGAGTGGTAGCACCTGTTAGGGTCCCAGCTATGGGCAAATAATGAACCCCCCAAACAAAACACTATGAAAGTATAAAAATACATTTTTATAGTAAAATTAACAAATATATTTTATGTAAAAAAAAAAAAAAAGCAACAATACATTTTATCTGTAGTTGAAGGCATACAATTGCATTCAAAATATATTTAGTTGAAACCATAAAATTGTTCAAATTATTTAGATTTCGGCATTAAATACCCCATAGAGATTGATATACTGCTAAAACAAAATCACCCATTTAAATGACCAACATGAAAGAACTCTTTCATGACATTAAGCCATATAATATCCAAAATTATCTTAAACTGTATTCTAAAATATATCTTCAACAAAACTACAGCATAAAACATATCATTGACTTTAATAATTATGTCCACACAAACATGTATATGCACAAAAGCTGAGTATCATCTACCATATATTCAACTGCAAAAGCAGAATAAAATTTTTATTAATCCAAAGCTCCCAAGAAAATTAAATTTCAGCATTGAATGACCCATAAGAAGTTGATATGCCATTAAACAAATCAATCCGTTAATTTGTTGTTACATTATATCTAAACTCCTTTCAAAGGTATCAAATGTATATTTCAAAAAGATTTAAAATCCTATAGAACATAGGGAGGGAAAGTAGGATCAATTATATACAGCCCCTGTATAAGCTTGTGATTTTTATGAGGTATGTCTGAAAATGCATGTTATTTAAAATTCACACAACATCTTTTCAATTAATGTGTACAATTGTATACCTGCTATGTTGACCTCAAAGAAGCATATGACCATATCAATAGAGACTTTTTCTCATCCGTAAGGAACCGTCTTCTAAGCTCTGACCCCACTGAATGTCTAGATCTGATAGAGGAACTATGTCAGTCCATAAAGTTATATATGCCTGAACATCCCATTATTGGATCATTTCAAGCCACATCAGGAGCCTGAGGAGGAAATGAGAGCCCAAATCTGTTAAATTTCTCCCTAGACTATGCTCCGTGCATAAACAAGCATAGATTTGAAGAGATAGGCATTAATCATTTAAGCATTCCGTGTTACATCACAAATAAATCTACTAATAAAAAACAGAATTCTTCTTTACCCTTTTATAAAATTTAATTAAAAATTCTTCATGAATACGAAAAGAATTGAGAAAAATATCACATTGCCTATTGTACAACTCCACCTACTTCATTGCACACATTCCACACTCGCTAATGGAGTTAGATACATAAAACCATCCACCCACAGGATAAAACAAGAATAAACCAATTACAGCAGATAGTGAATACATTTTTTCATTATTTGGTTATGGATTTATTAATGTAGATTTTTCTTTATATTTTATAAGACTTTTCTTTTTTTTTTTTTTTTTTTTTAACTGATAAATTCTTCAGTGATTTATTGAATATTTGACTTTTTTAAATCCTAGTTTATGACTTTGTGTGAGACAAGCAAACTGTATGAACCTGCCAGTCAATATGCAGAATTTGTACGAAGACTACCCAATACTAGCAATCCACAGACTGCAGAACCATTTGCCTTTGAACCTTATGTGCCTGTGTTTTTAATGTTAAAAACCTATTTTTACATTTTTTTTTCTTCAGAAATTGTTTGATATTATCATTTGTTACATGCCCCGTGTGTTTTTAATGTTATAAAACCTATGCATGAACATTTTTTATTCTTGGACTATATTTTTCCAATTATTATTGCTATTTACTGCTCTTTCACGGAATTGGTCTTTTTAACCCACCCAACTTCATAAATTGGCTTCAAGTATCTTACAACTTACCTTTGCAAGGGGTATAACTCTCTAAAATTTATATTTCTTAGTTATCCCCCTTAAGACAAAAATATACATATGTGAATAAAGACAAAAGGAAAACTTATCTGAGCCGCGCGTTTCATTCTCTGATAGACTTTATCAAGGCAAATGTAAGGATTTTATTTTGAAAGAAGCGTTTATAAGCAAAAATAAAAATGTTAGTTTTTCAAAATTTCTTAATTTAAGAGACGCTCAGAAATATTCATCAGGTTAACAGTAACCGTTTTAGGTACTTCCATCGAAATCGTTAAAAAAAAAAGCATAACATGAAGGAAAAGACGCCAAAGTTGACGAAAAAATTTTTATCGTCTGTTTATGTTATTATTAAGAGTTAAGAACAAAGTATTTTTTAATTATTTTATAAAATTTTTCCTTCTTTTTAGAACATTCTAATTTTTTATTAAAAAAAAAAAAATCCTTGTTTCTCTTTGTATCAGCGGAACTACTAAATAAAATTTTATCGCGTTTTTTTTTTTTTTTTTTGTATGAATCTTGCAAAAATAAAAATAATTGTCGCAAGTTAAAGAAAATTTCAGAAACTATTCACAAATGATGGAAACTATTAAAAATAGGTTTTCTTTAAAGTCATGGCAAAAATTTATTTTTTATTTATTTATTACCACCCCATAACTAATTTTATGAAAACTTTAGAAATTCAATCGCATTCGGTTTAGTGATTATATTAGTTAAAAGCACAAGGCTTTGAAGAAAGCAAATCCTGTTTTTTTGTTTTTTTGCAGAGTTTTATGAGGAATCGGTTGTTGCGCATATAGCATGTCTCCCCTCTCATGTCATCGATGTTGTCCAAAGTAAAGATAGTCCAATACATCATGGCACCTGCATAATTGCAGGAGTTGCCAGTACAAAGTCAAACATAAGATTGTCTTAGGGACTCTGGATCCGGATTTATCCTCAGGTTTTACTTCCAATGCATTTCCCATGATTGGGTATGGCTGCAAAACAGTGGAGGTTTAAAATCAAAGTTTTCCTTCTCTTAGATGAACTACACACCCGGGTTGACCAGCTCCATCTAAAAGAAGTATATATAGATACACACACACATATATATATATATATATATATATATATATATATATAACATTGGATGTCAGAGTAAAGAGTCATCACCAAATATATAATTATATATATTTTAAAAATACAAACTACAATGTAATATTTATTATTTACCAGATTTTAAAGAAACAACTAGGGGAACATTTTTTTTTCTTGCTCTATCAATTGTTAGATTTTGCCAAAAAAAATATTTAAACAAAAATTAGTGATGGGAAATTACCAGGATCTAGTAAAATTTACATTTTCACAAGTTCAATCTTTTTTATTATTATTATTTATTTTATTTTTTTTTTTAATATTTCATTAAAGTTCTGAAGGTTATTCATTTTATTTATTAGATTATCTGATGACCGAAAACCCAGTGTCCATTCAAGTGCTTCTTATTCTTCTGAAATTCTCTCTCAGGAAGGATCACCTTTATGTTATGACATCCATTCACAAGGTATGTGTGGTCAGATTTTGTTTTCTTTATTTTACTAAAATGCTCACCCAATTGAAGTAAATAGGAGTTGACATGCCGTTAAATCCAACATCCAATTGAAGTAGTGGATTACTGAATGAGGTTGTAGGAATGCAAGAGGTGGAAGGAAGTGCAGATTATGAGAATTTGTAGGATAGAAACGCTGACGTGCCTTAACCGTCTCGGCCACAAAGAACCTTTCGGTAGACAAGGTCAAATTTACTGCTTATAAGGCACGTCAGCGTATATGACGGTTCTGTATAGGATGCAGGTTCGAATCCTGTCAAAGAACAAATATTTTCTATGAAAATTTCTCGGACATTCAGGCCGGTAAATGTTATTTAATACTGTTTCTCATAAACAGAGCATTTGCTTAAGTACTTGTATCTATAAATAACAACGTTAAACATAAAAATGTTTTTAATAAATAAATTGTCGGACCATGTCCATTTCTTAATATATATATATATATATATTTCTCCTGATTCCATTTTTCATGCTGATAGCTGAGTTCAAACTCTCCCAGAGGGAGTTTGCATTCACTTCACACTAATGCCTGGAATAATGGAACTCTTTAACTCCATAGTCTGTCTAAGAGAAGATAATGCCAGAAAAATTGTCATTTTCAGCTTAGTGAACATCAAAGACAGGCACCAAGCTGAAAGAGACAACTTGGTGCACATGGGCTAATCTCCATTTGAAACTGTGCAAGTGACATGATGAAACTGCAGTAGATAGACAAGTGACATAGAATCATTTCTCTGCCTTTTTCTTCATCTACTTGTAGCCATAAAATTATTATTTGTGATTAGCTTGGTGGTGTCTGTCCAAAATCGCACTCCCCTCATATCAAACTTTGGGCTTCACTTAAACCAGATGCCTAAGGGGATTTCAGCGCTATCTTCTAGTGAGGTCCTTATTGACAAAATGAGACAAAATAAAAGTATATTTTCTTTTGTTTTCAGTATGTCCTTTGATCTATCTACTACCTTCTTCATCTGTGTTCACTTTTGATTTAATTTAAGCTTTTTTCCTTTCTTCAAATTATTAGTATTCTTACAGTGTCACAGGTTGAAGCTAAGAGAAAAATGTGGGATTAATTTCACTAAAATATCAATATTTGTCAGACTAATTAAAAAGTTCCTAGGGCATCTTTTGGGAAGTGTTTTGACAGAGGATGGAAAATGTGACATAGAAATCTGAAGACACATTGTAATAGGGAAAGTGCCTTCCAAATGCTAAGAAAAGTATCAAGAAATAGGAAAATTTCAATAGGCACAAAGGAAAGAGTGCTGAAGTGCAATGTAATATCAATCCTCCTTTGTGGCAGTGAATGCTGAACAATTTTCTCATCGATGAAAAGAAGACGTGGGGCAACAGAAATGTGATTCTATAGAATGATGCTGAGAATATCATGGATGGAGCATGTGAATAACAAGGATGCTTTAAGGAAAATGGAAGCAAAAAGGATACTTATACATAGAATCAGAAAGAAACAGTTGAAATTTCTGGGACACATATGAGGAAAGATGGCTTAGAGAATTTGACACTCACAGGACATGCTGAAGGGCAGAGGGAAACAGAGTAACCTACTTAATGAGTTTGTTTAAATAGATGACAATGATAGTAAAAAGGCAAACATTGCTAAGAGCTACAGAGAAAAGGAGATTATTATGAAGAACCATAACTGACTATGTCCTGAAGGGACATTGCACATAAAAAAAGTAACATTATGTACAATAAGGATATTGTTAATAGCTATTTTGAAATAGGAATCTGAAACAAAAAAAAAAATAATCTGGAACATAGAAAAAAAAAAAAATTAAGGAAGTTTTGTATAAATGAAACCTTGTTGAATTACACAACTTTTTTTTTTTTTTTTTTTTTTTTTGTCTTATAATATCATCCCATTTGAATGACACCAATCCAGTGATATCTGGCAACGATTCAATCCTCACCTACCTTGTGATCAAAACAGTGTGGGACAGGGAGAGGCTTTGATTGAAGTGACCAACTTCACAGTTAGCTGCAAGATTCAATCACGAAATACACCAATGACTGAGGATTGGACAGCATTGTCATGTAGTACAAAGGCCAGGACGCCCCGCAATGTTATAAATTTTTAATTAAGTAAACCTCATTTATCCTCTTCTTGTGCAGAAAGGTTGATATATCAAGTGCCTCTTTGATATTTTTTTTTAAGCATTTCACCCCAAGCAAGGCAGGAAGCCACTAGCATGCAAGGGGTTACAGAGGATTTGGAGCGAGAGCAGATAGGAGTGATAGAGGAAAGGATGAGGAGAAGGATAGTGGATAGATCAAGGCAACTGGAGATGTCAATTGACATTACATTTGAATAGTTGGAGAATATAGCTATCAGGGAAACTGGAAAAGGGGAGGGAGTTCCACAGGCGAGACGTGCGAGATATGAAGCTATTGGAGGAGAAGAGATGGCTACATTTAAGTTTCAACAGTGAAATGGTGAGAGTGGGATGCCAGCCTTGTAGGATGCTTGAATTCATGAAGTCTGGGAACCCGCGAAAGCAGCTCATCAGAGCAATTACCATGAAAGTATTTGTAAAAAAGACAGAGAGTCAATGACATGTCTGTGAGAGAGCGACTGCAGATGAGATGCCAGATCAGGGCCAATTACATTGCATATCCATCTCTGGATCTTATCAAGAACCCCAAGACAAACAGAAGGGGCTCCAAACCATATATGGCAGCAATACTCCATGCAAGGGCGAATGGTTGATTTGTAGATTTGAAGGATCGATTCCGAGGAGAAAAATTTCTTGGCATGGCACAGGGAACCAACTTTCCTTGTGGTGGACGAAGCAATTGACTCAATGTATTTGTTCCATCTCAGGTCAGTAGACAATGTGAGACCGAGCAGCCGCAGAGAGGTGTTCTCGAGAAGTTGAGCATCAGACATTCTAATGGGGGGCAGGAATGGTTCTCTGTGGTGATTAATAGAGAGCAGTTTTGTTTTTGAGGCATTAAAGTTAACCAGCCAATTCCTGCCCCAGTTCACAACCAATTGGAGGTCCTTTTTGAGAGGAATGGCCAGGTTAGTTTTGTCAGCGACACTAGATTTGTTTTTGAGGCAGGAGTAATTTAAAGTGTCGTCTGCGTAGATGTCTACTTGGGAATCTATGACGTTAGGAAGATTGTTGATGAAGATAAGGAACAGAGTAGGACCTAGGATGGAGCCTTGGGGATTTACCTTTCTTTATGACATAATTATGTTGTATATATATTTATTATTATTTTTTTTTTTTTTTTTTCAGGTTCACAAAATGTTGCTATGAAAGAGTGGCAATGTACTGAGATTGGAAGTGATTCTGACAGCAGCCAGTCTCCTGAGTCATCTCCTCCCACAAGCCCTCGGGGGCCAATCACTTTGGAAGCAACAACTACAAATTCCATGGAGGACCTTCTTCAGGGTTATTCAGAGGAATCAGAATGTAGTAAGTTATTGTTAAAAATAATTTTTTTTTTTTTTTCAATACTACAGAGTTAATTCTTTCATACATTTTGTAATGAAAAAAAAAAAAATTGTCTAAACATCTGTAACTGGTTAATGTGTATCATTTCTTGTACATATTTGATGTGTTTTTATTTATATTTTTCCTTTTACATTGGTTTATGCATTTGTTTCAATTATTTTATATATTTTTTCTTAGACATTTTTGTTTTATTTTACATATATTTTTATGTAATCATTTTTGTTTTATACAAATTTCTTTTTTCTGTTTTTTCCCTATTTTCATTTCCTCCCATTATCTTTTGTCTATTTTTTCCCCTTTATCATTATTCATATTTTAATTTTTTTACTGTTTTTTTTTTTTGCTTTCTGTTTTCACTCTTTTTTGTTTTTACACTTTCTTTTTCTTCCTTCTCTGTCAGTTTATTTTTTTTTTTTTTTTTCTCTCTCTCTCTTTTTTTTTTTTTTTTTTTTTTTCTTTTAGATTTTTCTGTTTTTATTCCAATTCTTCCTGGTTTTTAGCTTTGGACATTTCTCTGATTTTTCTGTTCTCTTTTTACTTGTTTTTTTTCTTTAGATTTTCTATGTACTTTTGTTTTTTACTTTCCTGGTTTTCTACATTTTTCACTTTTTTTAATTTTTAGTTTGTTTCTATTTTTTTCTGTAATTGTTTCTGTTTTTCTATTTTCCTGTTTTTAATTCTGTTCTTTGTTCTGCTTTTTTCTCTGTTCTACTATTTTGATTTTTACCTTTGCTGTTTTTTGTTTGTTTGTTTTTTTAAACTTTTGTGTTTTTAACTTTTCTAATATTTTTTTACTTTGTTTTTAATTGTTTTCTGTGTTTTTAGTTTTTCTCCTTTTCAAAAGATTTTCAACTTTTTTTTTTCTTGTGTTTTCACTCTTCTATTTTTGCAGTTCTCTGTTTTACTGTTTAAAATTTCAGATTTTTATTTTCTTAATTGTTTTCTTTTTTTAGTTTTCTGTTTTTTTTTTTTTTTTTACCTAGTTTTAGCTTATTCTGCATTTTGTCTTTTTTATTTTTCCCTCCCATTTTTAGCTTTTATTTCTGTTTTTTATAGTTTTCCTAGTTACTTTTTTTACATAAATAAACTCTTGTTTTTTATAAATATGTTTAATAAGAAATATTAGTGCCAAAGCAGTAGTATAAAAATGCACTATACTCATTTAATTCTATTGGCAAATTCTTTTACAGGCCAGCACACAAAATCTTCAAAAACTACTGATTCCTCTGGAGGCAACGTTAAGGTAACCATTGTTTTAAATTTTAACTCTGAGAAGAATTTTTTGCTATTTTTGACTAGTATTTTTGTCTTTTTTTTTTTTTTTTTTTTTTTTTTTTTACAATACTTTATGTCCAATATCTCCTGAAATAATTTCTACTAAGACTTGAACTTGTATCTCATCTTGAAAGCTTGTCTTCTATGTTAAGAATGTTGTTCATGAAAGATGATCTCTCAGGATATAGGATCTTTTCAAAAGCTACTATTTAAATTTTCTTTTAAATTATTGTAATAAATGAAGCATTATTCTTAGTTCAAATAAGTCAATATTGGAATGTTGCTCTAAAAGGAAAAGTTCAGAATTATATAGTATATAGCAGAAATGCCTCACACATAATAGTAGGGCATTAGTGATAATCTTCATCTAGCTAATGTCTTACTATTATGTGAAAGGTATTTCTGGTACAACCTGTATATTACACACCAGGAAATGTAGCAAATCTTATTCTTAAAATCCAATGACTTGATCACTAATATTCCAGACCTGGGATAATTTTTTTTTTTTTTTTTTTTTTTACTATTATTACTGCAGCAACACTATCATCATCATCATCATCACCATCACCACCTACATGGAGAATGTAGCCGCACTTTTGGAGTGAAATTGGAAGACCATGTAAAGTTATACAACACCGATGTTCCTCTTATTGTCAAAAAGTGTCTCAGTGAGATTGAAAAGAAAGGGATCACTATAAAGGTGAGAGAATGGAAGCATTGCATATTGTCCATCCTCTATTCAAAGACCCTTACTCACAGGTAAACGATAAACACCTGCAATTATTCTCTTTTAGGGCATTTACCGAGTGTCTGGTGTAAAATCCAAAGTAGAAAGTTTGTGCAAGCAGTTTGAAGCTGATCCAGAAGGTGTGGACCTCACAGAACAGCATCCCAATGTCATAACCAGTGTCTTGAAAATGTATCTAAGACAAGTAAGAAATATCTTTTTTTAATTTTCTAGTTATTATTTGGCTTCAGTTTACATTTTACCTGAACTGGGGAGTGTAATATTCATATAATTGTATGTGTGCCAATGAGATATTGTCTCTGTGTGTATATTAATGTATGTGTATATAAGATGCTTATGGCCATATCAAGTTAAAACATTGGTTCTCATATGATCACTAATGTTAAGCAACATTGAGCCTGATCAGTGCCTGGATGGGTGACTGCTTGGGAATACCAGGTGCTTTAAGTTTGAATGTTCAGGTTGCGTATCGGATAATGGCTCCAAAATTGGAAATCTGAGAACTAAGTTCCAAATCCAGTCGGGTTCATTATATTCACTTACCCTTAGGAAAGTGCATTGCATTTCATTGCAGTGAAGGGTTAGGCTGTGCCGAAATGACATACTCATTTGTTCTTCATAAGTGGAAATGAAGGTGTTGTATGGAAATAGCCTATACTTTTTGATTTACCCTCTTATAAATTTTTCCAGTTAGGTTCGTTATATTCATTTACTCACAAATACCTTTGGAGAAAGGTATCTATCTCTCCCTACAGCTATGGGTTAATTAGCAGGACTTCATTCATAAATCATTATCTACAAAAAATTCTTACAATTTAAAAACATTTTCTGGATTTAAGTAACTTGCAAAAGATTGATAAGCTGTAAAAAAACAAACCAATCAAACAATAAATACAGAAATGAGTATAAAACAAACTGAGGTTCTTTTTAATTTTCTATAAATATCTTATTTTTCTTTTTTAAATAATTATATAAAATGTAGAAAGTTTGCTGAGGAATGAAAATGTTCTCAGATTTCACAAATTTTCATACTGAAGTAATGCTGCTCTTCTTTTTTCTTTAAAAGGTGATTTCCATGCATTTTTTTTCTTTTCTTTAGCTTCCTGAGCCTCTGTTGACTTTTGATGCCTATTCAAGTTTCATACAAGTCGCTAAGGTAAGCTGCCATCTTGGATTAAGTTGATAAAGTGATTATCCCCTGATGAGTTAGAAGCTATTGTCAAGATAAATAACACAAACAGAATAAATAAAGTTTGCAATGAAAAGAAAAAAGGTCAAAATGGACGAAACGGCAATAATCATGCAAGCAAGCCAGCAATATAGTTAAAGCAAATCAAACAGGTAAGAAGGCAAAAGAATTCACAAACTATGAGTTGATGTTGTACACAAAAGCAAGGTCAGACAAGCAAACACAGAAAGTCTGTCTAGTAGTTAAGGCAGATCTCACCTCCTCACAAGGCAGGATGTGGCACAATTCCATTTTTTATGTAGGGTGAATCTTAGCCTGTAGGCCTGAGCAACCTACAACTTGTTTACCACCCCCAGACTTGACTCTGCCTGAAGGCAGAGAGATTGACAAGTCAGCCCGAACTGCCTGAAACAGCAGATCTGAACTGAGTCATGTCAAAACGCAAACTATCCCATTTTATTGGCTAAGAAAAATATCCCAGCATGCATTTCATGTATTTCTGACTGTAAGAGGGGGGGGGGCATTTGTAATCATTCCCACTGCGTTGGAAAATCAACATTCACTTCAGCCAATCACAAACAAATAGATAATTACAAACGAAACCTGTCAGATATACCAGGTGCTGTAAGTTTGGATGTGTGGGTGGTGTAATGGATAGTGGTTCAGAATTGTTAATCAGAGCTCCAATTCCAGTTAGGTTTGTCATATTCACTTGTAAATATTCTTGGAAAAAGTATGAATCCACCTCTTCTTCCCCCAGCTATAGGGTTAATTAGCAAGACTTCCTTCATTAAAATCATTATTATCTCAAAAAAAAATCTTACAATGTAAAAATATTTTCTGGCTTTAAATAACTTGCAAAGGTTGATAAGCTGTAGAAAGTGAATCAATCAATACATATTTTTTGCTAAAACTGTGATATTGTAACAGACATTTAGAAAAAAAAATAAAGAAAAAAATCAGACATTTCTAGATTGTTAAAATAGCCATACATTGACTGATTGAAACCAAATTTTGGGGAGAAGTGCAGCTAGGTTAAGGGGTACAAAGTACAATTGGTTTTACTACAGTGCATAGCATAGTACAATGAATTTTCATTCATTTTTTTTTTTTTTTTTTTTTTTGAAAAATTAAAAGTTCTATTATTTAACATACAAAATAATCTCACTATTTTAAAAACAATTTAATGATTAAAATAAATACTTCTCTATCTATAAAAGGCAAGGTGTGTGTGTGTGTGTGTAACAAATGCACGCCCGCAATCTTTGGCGGATTTGCACCAAAATTTACATGCACATGCTCCAAGTTAGTGGGAAAGCCAAGACCGACTTTGCATTTCCCAACTCCCATCGATAGTGGAAATAATCGATTTTTTTCATGCTTCTATGGCAGTTTTCATGTAGTTTGTGGCCATTTTCTACTGGCCAGAGTGAGAGCCTATAGTTGGCTGCCACGAATAGGCAGAAAGATTCTATTGGCCAGCGTGAGAGCCAACAGCTGACTGACATGAATGTTAACTAGCATGCAAAAAAATCAATAACTGCATTCGTCACAAGTGGGAAAAATTTAAATCTGCATGGCACTTTACTCCAATTGGCTTGCTTAAACTCAACGTTGATTCTGATTCCGCAGAACTGGGTTGGGTGTGAAAAAGTATTTGTTGTTAACATTCTTTTTTCATTCGGTTTTTCCAAGCTGATCGTTTTGTGTTCCTTTTGTTTAGTTCTTTTTTCATAACAGATTTAATGTTTAGTATAGAGCTTAGAAAAAATTCACAGTGTGAGATAGGCAAGAAGTAAGGCATGTAGCAACATCAACATGGCAAAGGGCACTCCTTTAAAGGCAAGGAAGGGCAAAAATATTTTAAGTCAAGTGATAGCGATTACTGTACGAGTCATACGATTTTTGAATCAAGCACGGGCAACACCAGGCCATGCTGCTAGTATTTAATAAAAATGCAATATTGTTTGATGGGGGGGTGCATATCTTTTCTTTAAACTTTTATATACAAGAATCCATTTTCCGGTTTACCCTGCGTTTGCAAGAACTATAAACAAATCACAAGGCTAAACGCTTCAAAAAGTTGGAATTTGGTTCCAGAAAGTGATGTAGGCAGCTCATGGGGAGGCTCTACATTTTCCAGCAGTAATTCTGCATCCTCCCACATGATCTAGGTGTGAGTGGCTGAGAGTTTTCACTATTATATCATCCCTCAACATGTAGTCTCCAATCTCTCCTGATTTGATTTCCTTAGACAACTACATCTAGGTTGTCCTCAAGGACACTTACCACTGACCTACAATATGAGATTTGTTGAAAGCTATTGTGAAAGTAACAAAAACTACCTGATCTTTTTCTCAAGTGATTGCATGCTTGGGAAGTCACTTTTGAAACTCTCCTGGAGTCTGAAGGCATTTTTATGGAATAACCTTTATTTTTCTTTATATTATAATTTGTTCTCAATTACTTGAAGCACTCTTTATATACTTGAGACTGAACCTCACATCAACTCTAGACTGGTTGTTGAATAAGAAAATCACCATGTTGCATATTATCTCCAGTCACCAGTTAAATGTTTTTACTTAGTGACTATCATGTATTTTTTTCTTCAAATTGTAAATAACCCATTTAATGAATACATAACATTGTAAATTATTTCTTGCTCTTTTCCCCAAAATGTTAATGGATATGCGGGTGGTATAATGGATAGTGGCTCAAAATGAGAAATCAGAGAGCTGAGTTCAAATTCTAGTCAAGTTTCTTGCATTCGCTTATGTGCAAATACCTTTGAGTAAAGTATGAATACATCTCTTCTCCTCCCAGTTGTGGTTTAAATAGCGAGACTTTCATCTAGAAAAATCATTGTTATTCTCAAAAAAAATAGTTAATCCAATATTAACCTCCCTTCCCAATGAATTATTCTTACAATCCAAAATGATTCAGCTTGAAATAACCCACAAAGAATTGATAAGAAATAAAGAACAAACAAATCAAACAATCTCAACAATGAAAAATTGTACTAATCAACATACAAACTACTGTCCATGTTACAATGACTATTTAGAATACCACAAGTTACAAAGTTGAATAGAATTTATTATTTGAGGATACACTTCATTTTTATTTTCCAGAGAGACATGGTTGGGAATCTTAGCAAAGAGCAGACAGTTCAGAAATTGGACGAATTAATACAGAAATTACCAATTGCCAATCGTAAGACAACGGCTCTCATTATATGGCATTTGCGTCAGTAAGTTTTGTTTTTGTTGCTCTTCTTTTCATGTTTCATTTTTTTAAATTTTTTATGGCATCTTTTCCTATTGTTTTAATAGCATTAAGGAAAGGTATTTTTGTATTTTTTGTCATTTCAGTTTATAAACATAAAATAAAGAAAAAACTTAAGCTTGTCTTTAACTTTGAAGTATTCTTTTAAAATGGAGCTTTTCCTTCTTTGTGTTACTCACGTTCTTACCACATATTGGCAAATTCATTTTAATGACTTTTTCAACTGCATCATTGTATAATCCATAAGTGGTCTTGACAACTCAAGAACAAATTTCATTAATTTTTCTTATTTTTCATTTTTATTTTCTTTACTCTCTTTCCTCACCACTCTCCTCTCTTCTTTTGCCCTCCTCTCTCTCTCCCATCTCTCTTTCACTCTCCTCTTTCTCCTGAAAAACAAGAATTTTTTAATGCTAAATTTTAAATCATTTTTTATTTTATAGAGTATCAGAGGAAGCCAATGAAAATCAAATGAATGCCAGTAACTTAGGAATTGTCTTTGGTCCAACGTTACTTCGGCCATTGTAAGTAAAAATATTTATTTTCATTTTAAGAAAGACTAATTATTGTACCTTTTTAAATTTCAATAAAAATTTCACAATTATCAATTTTTTGATGAATATTAATATTTCTATTGCTCCTTATTGCAACTCCCAAATCCTCTTTATTCTAGGGTTGTTTGTATTTTCATAGTGGAAATAAAGAATAAACCTTTGGAAATATTTGAAATTTACACCCTTCTTTTCTCTGGAAGTCTTCCTGTCTGGAGTAGTTTCTTTACTAATTTGGCCATGATGATCACTGGTTACAGGTTCAAATTTCAACATAAAGCTTACATTCTTTATTTTCCCTTAATATCTAATTTTCCATCTTTTGTTTTTTAAGAATTGGATTAGAGAGTTGGATTTTCTTAATACCAAGGGACATAATCCTTAATAATAATTAACAATGCTTCATATAAGAAATTTATATATTATTCCAAATAGCATTTGTTTGTAAAACTTACGATATCTCAAGTAGGATTTAATAAATAACTGATTTAAAACTTTCATTTACTCTATGATTACATGTATTGGTGATATGGGAGTGTCAGGAATGAAGTAGTTATGGTGGCATTCAACTTTACTTACTGTTATCCACTTAGATTTAATCATTTTGTACATTAAACATATTTCTAGTGGTAGAAAAAATAAAATTTGGTTTAGTACTATAGTTTTCATTTTTTTATGTAAACTTTATTTTAGTAAGTTTCAACACTGTACCAAAAATCTGGAAAAAGGGTCAAGAATTAAGACCAGCATTACTTATAGAATGTATAATGTATATTCATTGCTAATGTTTTTTTTATAGAAATCCTTTGTAAATGTTTTTACTGTGAAAGTCTCTGATCGACAATTTTGATCATAAGTCATTTTTCTTCCAATGTATCAGTCAAATAAAACAATTTTTTACAATAACAGCCAACCCAAGACTCAGTAATTCATAACAAAATTCTTATGAACCTCATCAAACACAGCTTTTTTTTTCTCTCTCTTTCTCTCCCCAATGGATCCTATTTAGGGGTTGTCCTAAATTTACCCATGATTTTTTTTTTCACTTTGGACTATTGTAATAAATCTATTTTTCATCAGTAGCAGCTCTCTTGAGAGAAGCCTTGGTGAGTGCAATCCAGCATAACAAGCAGCAGCACTCACCAGGCTCCAAGTTCTACACTCAGGATTGTCCCACAGGACAATAGCCTAGTGGATAAAAGCATTGGTTTGTGAATTTGTTGATATAGTAATTGTGAGGACAGTGGAAATGGAGTGAGGAATAACTGCAGCATTAAATAAGAACTATATATAGAAATCCTTTGGTCAGTGGAACAAGAACAATCTACTTCTGTAGGTTAAATAAACAGTCCATTTTGAAATTCCCTGAAGATTACCCAGATCGGCAAGTGGCCAATGAAGACCAGCAGACAAAATAGCCAAAACATTCCAAATGTAAATAATGATAACTCCTTATCCCAGTAATTCAGACAGAAAGCAACTCTTGTCTAAACTTGACATTTTTCTATATCAAGCCTAAATAGAAAAACACATGTTTAACTGATGGCCAATGTTCCTTTCCAGAAGCCCACATGAAACCCATTTTCCTTTATCAACTTTTTGCTGCATGCTTCCCTGAATGCCATTCTTACTCTGTTCTGTGTCCATTGGTTCATCTCCAGTGAGATCACTCTTATCAATCCTGCAGCCCCCACATTGTGTATCAGTATATGCAGGAATATCGGTGAAGAACTGTCGAAGATCAGGCTTGACTCCTCTCTATCCTGGTTATGCTTGAAACTTAACTAACTTCAACAACACTCATTAACAAGTATAAAAATAACTTTTATTTATAGTACTATAGTTGATTAAGACCATGAATACATAAACAAAAGGGATTTGAAGAAGTTTCCCTGTATAAGGAATTCTTAAGCAGGGAGGAAGAGGTTGATTGGCAGTTGCAGTTATGGCTAAACAGCCCAGAGTTGTTCAACTATTTAAATGAAGGCAGCTGATGAGTTCAAGAAATGGCGTAAAAAACAAGTCTTTAGCTGATTGAGGCATCACAATCATCCGTCGGGGAGAGCGTTGGTCTACTAGCGACGAGACCAGTTTATCTTACTTTGGCTCTGTTGGCAACTGCTTTTATGGGGGTGCAAACACCAATTGCACTGCTCTGATTGGCCAGCCAATAATAATGCTTGACTAATGGTCTTGTGTCATACGCCTTAAAGGGGAGGAAGGAAAGCCCCCAAGAACCCAATATGATTAGTGGTCCAATCAAAATAATGGCCCTGTGTCATAAGTATCAGAGGGAGAGATGGGAAACTCCATTCCAGCCCTCCTCTCAATGGTGGACCAATCAAAATTGTGGCCTTGCATCACTCATATCCACCTTCAGTGAAACATTTTCCATGTTCCAGAATCTCGCCCTCATTTAACCTGATTAGCACAGGTGTCATTGTCTGTTCTATCTGAAAGTGTGTTATATCCCTGATCAAAATAAACCTGACCTATAAAGATTTGCTTTGTGTCTCTTATTCCGATGAACAATTCCTTTATCAAATGAGAACAACACTTAAGTTAAAGTTCAACTTAGACTTAAGACCTAAGACTGTACCTAATGGCCAATCCCACCCAAGCTTAAAATTTCACATCTCACACTATACTCTATAAGTAGATCACCAGTCAACTTTTCACACCAGTCATGGTGTCTTGTCTTGCTTCAGAATTTTTTTTCTAAATTTTTTTAAATGACATAATTGCTTTAATTAATAATTGCTTGCAAAAGCAATAATGCATCAAAGACAATTTTTCTTTCTTAAAGATAGCACTGGAAGCTTTTGCATCATCATAATATAACAATATATATGATTAATTTTTGGTATGTATATTTTATCATGTTATATCACAAGTCTCTGTAATCCATTAGGTCCATAGGGGCACCACCTGTTCTGTATAGTTACCATTTTCCTGGTTTCAGAATTTTTTCTAAGTCTCAAATAGTTGCAATGGGTGTGTCTAAAGTAAGCCTGACAGAACCCATCCCTCCTCTTCAGACTGGTTTTGAATTCAGCTTTCCTTCTAGACTGGTTAAGACTAGAAAGCTTAGTCTAACCTGTCATTTAACCCTTTTCTGAAGAGTATCTGTGTGAAAATGAATGCAATAGACTAGCTTGGAATTTGAACTTACCTTGCCAGCATCACTTTCTACCCACACATCAGAATATATTTTGCATTTTGGCAGTTTGTGCCACTCGTGTGAAAGCCATTTTCCTGGCTTCAGAATTTTTCCTAAGTCTCATAAATGGTATAGAACAATTGACTAATTGCAAAATAAAAATAATGCCAGGAATTTTTGCATCAATTTAACTGACATGGTTGAAACTGATGCCTTATTTCAGTTTTTTTTTTTTTTTTTTTTTTTCTTTTACCAGGGAAGGAACAGCATCTCTCTCTTCTTTAGTTGATACACCTCATCAAACACGAGCTGTGGAACTTCTGATTACTTACGCTGATGTAAGTATATTTTCAGTTGATATAGCTTATTATTATTATTATTATATCTTGATAGAAGGACATATAGGATTGTATTATTGCTGAATTTCCAAATAGCAATAAACCTTTGCCTATTGAAAAAATATTAAAAAGTTTAAAAGGAAAATATTAAAAAAGACAAAAAGAAATCTTCTTAGCTGACGTGTTTTTGTCTTCTGAATGACTTTATCAAAGCAATGCATTTGCTTTAATAAAATCCTTCAGAGGACTTTTGCAGATATACTTTATCTGAAATATATATATATATATATATATATATATATATATATATATATATATATTAATATTTTAATATACCATTTATTTTTCTATTATTTACTTTAGTTATTTAGAAACATTATTTCTGATTTGTTTTACTACTGAAACGCTGTATTTGATGGTATATATATATATATCCCCCCCACACACACACCAAAAAAAATAATGGCACAAAAATATCCCACAGATCTTGTATACATTTAAGTTTTTCTCAATATCCCCCCCCCCGAAATGGTTGGGGGAAATGCCATCAAATATAGTAGACACTAATTAAAAAGCAAGAATTTAGTTGTTTGTTTTTACATGCTAACAAAATTTTCATAGTAAATTTTAACAATTATTAATTTTTGACTAATATTTACTTTCATCTTATTTTTTTTAGTTAACTTTTATCACTGATTTTATCTTTAAAAATTCAGTTAATAAGACTAATAATGATATTTGCTCATTTATTTATCATGCTGACAAAATTGTTTATATCTGATTGCCAAAGGTTTCATTTTAATCTATCCTTAATATATTTTTTGCAAATTTTGGTCAGTGAAGTAAATGTACCATATTTGATGACATCAAATCTAAGATCTACTTATTTTCCCCAAATATTAATCTCATAAATTTGTAATAAATTCATAAAAAGAAACCCATTTTGAAATGAGTCATATAGGATATTGAAGTTCCAATAACATTCCACATAAAAATCTAATAAATTTGTTTTTCTTAATATTCTCTATGGAAATGACAAGAGTTAGGAATCTTATTTGGGAATCATCAAATATGGTCACTTCAGCTGTAGAAATTTTTTTTTATTATACTCTATTTCCACTTGTGTTCTGATTTTCATAGCAACTTTTTGGAGAGAAAATGGAAACAGTGCTGACCTCAACTCCTGACAGTAAGACTTTACATTACTTTAAATTCACTCCTTTTCTCTCTCTCTCAAATTCCTCACTCTCCATAGCTTTCTTTCTACCATGTCTGTAAATTGAATTTTCATGATTCTTCTTGGAAAATTTAGTGATTCCCCATTGTATTCTCTATATGAAATACATTTGCTTTAATAAAAAAATACTTTCCCTGTAAACATTAGACCTACAGGGTGCCCAGTAAAAATGTGGTAAATTCAGAAAGACACAGGACAATTGTTGAAAAACTGGTGACAATTGATGTGTCTAAAAAATGATGGAAGAATTTCTGCACATTGCATCGATCCCCACATTGGATATTCTTCTTTGAAAAGTACGATAACTTGACTCTCAGAATCAGTGAGTTGTTTAGCCAGACGAAAAGACCAGAATGAAAGATGAAAGTTATCTGCAAATAACCTTTAATTGACGAGTCACAAGACCGAGCAGTAATTAATCATAAAAAAAACAATCAGAGTTAAGTAATTACCCAAGAGTCGAATGATTATTCAAGGTCATGAACATTCAAGAAATTTATTCAAGATTATTTATTCCTGAAATATAAAACAGTGATTATAAATTTGCCACTTTTTTTACTGGGTACCATGTACAAAAATAGATAATTCTAACTCTTTATTTACATTGTTTGGACTATCGTCCTCATCTCTGTTGCCATATTTATCACCAAGTTTCGGCCATTGTATGTTCCGGCCTTCTTCAAGTGCTTGGTATGTCAAACTGAACTGCATAAATCCAGTGGATAAAAGCGGATAACTTGGAGAGGGGAATTAACAGGAGATAACTGATAACTGACATCCATTAGACATGGCACATGGAACTAGAACAGTCTACCCCAGCGAGCGAAATAAAGGGTTCAGTTCGACATTCCAACCACCTGAAGAAGCTGGAGTGTACAACAGCTTGAACATTGTGATAAATATGGCTACAAAGATAGTTTGAACAATGTAAATAGTGTGCATAATACCTCATCTCAGAAATGTGGACAAATTCTAACTCTTATTGACAAATGTGAATTAATAGTACTTGCATATGATTTGTTAGCTGCTAATGTTGCAAGTTTATTGAATCACTGATCAGCTGATAGGTAATTTTGATTGATATCTTTCACAAGGGTTCAAATCCTAACAGTGATAGACATTTGTTTATAGAGAATAATTCAAATTAAAACAATAATAGTAGAATATTTTGTTTTAATTTCAGGTTCTTCTGGAAAAGAGAAACTTGAACGAGTTCCTTCTTTGAAGCCTTCCAGGTAAGTGAAGCTTTGTTTTGAAGTTTCATTAACATCAGATATCTTTTTCTTTTTCTCTTCCCCCTCTTTTCTCATTTCGTTTTACTCCTCTTTCTAGTCTCTTTGCCCTCAGTTCTTTCCTCTTCGCCCCTGTTTATTCTTTCTCCTCTTTAACCCCAGCTCTTCCTTCTCCTCTTTGCCCCCAACTTTTTCTTTCCCTTCATTGCACCCATTGCCTCATTCTTCTTTTTTTGTTTTTGCCTCCACTCTTTTTTTTCTGTCAATATTAAGTAAAGTTAAGTATATATTAAGAAAATGTCTTTCTGTTGTATACCACTGTACTTCAATATTATACGACAGGAAATCGTTTTCTTGATATTTACTCATATTTAGTTAATATTGACAGATGGTCAGTAGGAAGATCGTGTGGCACTAAATTTTTCAATAAAAAAAAATGTCTTCCTTGAAAATCATTTTAACTCTTAACTTTTACATTATTTACATTATTCGGACTATTGTCCTCATCTTTGTCACCATATTTATTACAATGTTTCAGCCCTTGTACACTCCAGCCTTCTTTAGGTGGTTGGAATGTCAAACTTAACCCTTTATTTCGCTCACTGGGGTAGACTGTTCTAGTTCCACGTGCCATGTTTAATGGATGTCAGTTATCAATTATCTCCTGTTAATTTCCCTCTGAAAGTTCTCCACTGCCTTAACCGTGTATTGAACTCCTTGAGGATAAATAGTATAGGCGTTGGTTAGATCCAGTGGCAGGACCCAAAGAGTGTGAGTTCAATACCCGGTTAAAGCAGTGGAGAACTTTCAAAGGGAAATTAACAGGAGATAACTGACATCCATTAAACATGGCACGTGGAACTAGAACAGTCTACCCCAGCAAGTGAAATAAAGGGTTAAGTTCGACATTCCAACCACCAGAAGGCCAGAGTGTACAACAGCCGAAACATTGTAATAAATATGGCGACAATGATGAGGACAATAGTCCAAATAATGTACTTAATACTTCATCTCAGAAATATAGACAGATATCTTAGCTTTTAGTTTGGTTGGAATCTCAGTCACTGGCACCAAAGGAAAATGCACAACTATCCATCTAACAAGTCACTTTCAACTAATCAAGTTTTCCTGATAAAATAAAAAATGAAGTGAAAATATCTACCATTAATTTTTGACTAGTATTTCTTTCTTTTATAATTTGAGTTGCATTTTATCATAACTTATCACAAACTGACAGTCTAAGTTTTGATGAAAGAAATAAGTAAAGAATTTAGTAATTGTTGACAATGGTTCATCTAATATAAAATTAAAATCAAGAAGCGAAAAATTGTTTTACTTGTAAGAAACAAAATAAACAATTGTTTTTATTCATTTAAATTTTTTTTGAAAATGTAGAGAACATACCCAAAGTATTTTTCAAAGATCTGTTAATAGTTTAGTTTTGTAATCACATAGAAAATTATTTAACTCTAAGACACTAACCATGGGTATATAGTACCCAGCGCAAATTTTCCTATTTTTAATTACAATTTTCAGTACCTGATTTTCTTACCTAAATAATGTTTTTCAGTTCCTATTAATGTTAACTCAAAGTACAAAGTTTGAAGTGCCTGCATGTAAAATATTTCAAATAAAGAATTATATTTAATATTTTTTTTGATATTTTCAAAATCAGGTATGATATACCCATGGTTAGTAGTGGTGTAACTTGAATTGATGGTTAGTGTTCTAGGGTTAAATTTGAAATTAAAATCAATGTATCCATAATTGTTTTCTTTCTCTCTATGTATCTTTTCTGCATTCACCTTCTCAAAATGATGGCTTTTATATTTTTGTTTTTCTTTATTTTAGAAGAGATCAGTCATCAGAATCTGCTGCGCCTGAAGATAGTTCAACCCCCGAGGTATGAGACCAAATGCTTGCTTAATTCTCTTTTGTTGTATTCTGCTTTCACTATTCCTCTCTGCTGTTACATTGTGCGTTTGTTGATGTAAACGATGCTTTTTCTAAGTGTTTCTAACCAGCTCTTGGTCAGTTGCCTGCATCTGTAGCCAAGTCATCAAGCAGTTTCTTTTGGCTATACAAATAAGAAAATATATGTAAATATTACTTTTCCTTTAAAAATAATTTTATTCCAAAGTAAATATCTTTTAATTTATATTTTAGTCAATTATTTGGGGAGGAATTAGGTTATTTGTTATAGGACACCTTCAGCATTTAATGAGTTACTTGTCTTTATCTGACTTTTCCTTTTTGTTTTGCAAGTTATTCCCAGCTATGTGTTCAATTTTGAAATGAGATTATATTTTCATGAGTGAATTTTGGTTGAAGCATATTTTGGAATGAAGACCAACTTGTAAAAAATTTTTTTTGTTAAAAGTACAGCCTCACTCCTTACTTAATTGTTTAATGACCCCAGGACTTACATCTAGCTATAAAAATCTTATAAAATAAATTTTAAAAAATCCAACCAATCAGTATTGTACAGTGTACAAAAACATTGATCATGATCTTTTTTTCTCTTTCTTCAAAATGATTTAATGAATAAAGTCGGTCAGATATATGCCAAGCGGGATACACACTTAGGTGATCATGTATCTTTTGATACATGAATGATGAGGCGGATTTTTTTCCTGCAGTAGGTTGCCATTTCCTTCTGCGGTTGACCAGTTGCCATCCAAGGCTATAGAACCCAATCTGTCTTGCTATTTACCCATAGCTTGAGAGAGAAAAGGATTAACACCTTTCAGAAGGGTATTAGCACATAAGTGAATGTAATGGATTTGACTGAAATTTGAACTTGGTTCTCTGATTACTCAATCCAAGCTGCTATCCATTACTCCACTGTGCCTAAAATAAATAGAATGTTACTTGTATGAAATACTTCCATTATGAAAACCAAAGTAATGTGCAGAATATAGAGCTGATTTTTAATTTATATTTACTGCTCAGTAAACTACTATATAAACACTTAAATATAAATTTGATTCCTGTCAAACCGTGAATTGAAGGTCGTTCACAACGGATTCTCCTCCAGTTTCTACCCCACGAACGCAGGTGTTCCTCAAGGCTCCATCCTAGGCCCCACTCTATTCCTTATCTATATAAATGACCTTCCTGACGCCGTAACTTCTCAAGTCGGCATCTACGCGGATGACACCACAATTTATTCCTGCCTCAAAAACAAATCCACTCTCGCTGACAAAACTCACCTTGCCGTGCGCCTCGAAAAGGACCTCAAATCGATTGTGAACTGGGGCATGATTTGGCTGGTCAACTTCAACGCTTCGAAGACAAAACTGCTCTCTATTAATCACCACAGAGAGCCTTCCCTTCCCTCCATTAGAATGTCTGACGCTCAACTTCCCGAGAGCAACTCTCTGCGGCTTCTCGGTCTCACGTTGACTGCTGACCTGAGATGGAATAAATACATCGAGTCAATTGCCTTGTCCACTGCGAGGAAAGTTGGCTCCCTGAGCCGTGCTAGGAAGTTTTTCTCCCCTGAGTCGATCATCCAGATATACAAATCCACAATTCGCCCTTGCATGGAGTATTGCTGCCATATATGGTCTGGCGCCCCTTCTGTTTGCCTCGGGGTTCTTGATAGGCTCCAAAGGCAGATATGCAATATGGTTGGCCCTGCCCTGGCGTCTCGTCTACAGTCACTTTCTCACAGACGCACCGTCGCCTCCCTCTGTCTGTTCTACAAATACTTTCATGGAAATTGCTCCGAGGAACTGCATTCGCTGGTTCCCAAACTTCATGAGTTCAAGCGCCCTCTGAGGCTGGCATCCGCTCTCACCCCTTCACTGTCGAAACTCATAAATGTAGCCGTCTCTTCTACTCTAATAGCTTCATGTCTCGCACCTCTCACCTGTGGAACTCTCTTCTCCTGTTTCCCTGAGAGTTATAATCTCCAGCTATTCAAGTGTAATGTCAATCGACATCTCCAGTTGCCTTAATCTATCTACTACCCTCATCCTTTCTTCTATCACTCCTATCTGATCTTCCTATTTTCTGTAACCCCTTGCGTCCTAGTGGCTCCCCGCCTTGCTTGGGGTGAAATGCTTAAAAAAAAAAAAAAAAAAAATGTTACAAATGGTGCAAAGATCACTTTAAAGTAATCTGAAGCTGGTTGAAAACCAACCTATTACTCACATAGTATGCCTTGTAGTCAAATACTAAGTGATCAGAATTTGATTGTTAAATGAGGAGTGGTTGTATATTCTAAAAATTTAAGCAATAAAAATATTCTTATTGTGAAATGTGCCTTATTTTGATGTTTAATTTGAATGTAAGGGAAATTAAACAAATGGATGCATTTCTTTCTACTGAAATAATTTGTAGACCTTTTTAAAGTAATTTTTCCTTTTTATTACAAAAAATTTGATAGCACTAGAATTTAAGAGAAAAATCTTTTAACTTCCAGCAGCTTAGCTGAACAAATTATTCATCTGGGATTCTGTTTTTATATTCTTCACAGTAATTCAGAAAAACAATATGAGAAAATCCAACTCTAAACATTTTAATTAAACAAATACCAATCATGTGACTTTTTTATTAAATGCTGATGACTTTACTGCACGATAAGCAAATTGTTTTCGTTTTTTTGTTATTATTTTGTTGTTTTTTTGTTTTTTTGCTTTTGTTGTTGATCCTTAAAAATAATCTTTAAATAATACACTAAATTTTAAAATATGAAGTTGCACTTGAAAAATTATATTCCAATTTTAGGATTTTTAAAATTAATTCTTTGCAATAAATTAGCTATTAAATAATAATGATTATTCTGTGTCAAACTCTTAGCTCAAAATTATTTCAATTTAGTCGTAAAGTTACATTCTTTTTTAGCTAATTTTCTTCATACTATTTTTTTTTTTTTACATCTAGCAGTAGTAGATATAATAGTATTGTCTAAAGTTCTTAGATGAAGCATTTTCATTAAATAACCAACATGATAGGAAAATATAAAATAACTTGAGCATTGCAATAAAAATATTCAAAATTAAGATGAAAGATAAACTAAGCTGAAATTAATAACATTACTTCATCTAAGAAAATCAAACAGTTTAAAACATTGTTTTCAAAAATTTTAATGAACAGAAACCTGAAAGATTTGTTATAAGTTTTGTATATTAAAAGTACAACCTGTTTCTGATGAAACTTTTTCTAAGAAATGAAATATTACAACATCAACAAGAATAAATCCCTAAAGTCATTTTCCACATGATGTTTTGTATTGCAAAACAATCTTCCTTTACCACTTGGAATCAAGATATTTATTCTTTGCTAAATTTTTTTAAAGATTTTAGTGAAAAAAAATCATTTTCTTTCTATAATGAGATTCCTGTATAATGTCACATTGGCAAATTATCTTGCACAAAGATAATCATTCCATTTTACTGCCAACATCACTATTTGTAAATTGTCTTGAATTATCAGTAAAATGATCCAGAACTTTGGAAAATATCAAAATCTCTCTCGCACACACACACATAATAATAATTATTATTATTATTATTAATATTATAGCTTATAAATAAAAATATAATAATATTTTGCTTTACTTTGTATTGAGCATCTATTTTAAATGTTACGAACTGTGGATTTTTACTCTATTCTTTCTCTTATTTGGAGATATATATATTATTTTAGGATATTGCATCAAAATGTAAATAAAGCTACACAAATGCAATCATGTTTCCATGTGTATTAACACATTTCATCACGCATTCATATGGATGGAGATATATATATATATATATATATATATATATATATATATATATATATATATATATATATATATATATTTTAAATAAAAACAGACCACGTTAAGGTTCCAGTTAATAAATTATTTCACCACAGCCCTTTCAAAGGACTACAGATCATCAGACTTTACTTCCAAAGGTTTAAATGAAAAGAAATTTACACATTTTTGACAAGCCGTATTAAGCATATTTAAATTAACAAAGTGAGTGGGGAGAGAGAAGACATGAGTGAGTTAGATGTAATTTAAAATTTCTATTCTTTCATACTTAAAATTACTTGAATATGTTCTCTCATGACTTCCTTCTCTCTTTTCCTTATGTCTTTTTTCTACTCTACCCCTTCTATATCAATATATAACTTCCGTTAAATTAACCATTTAAATGTGCCAATGTCTGGACCTCCTCAAGTAATTTTAAGTATGAAAGAATAGAAATTTTAAATACATCTAACTCACTCATGTCTTCTCTCTCCCCCCTCACTTCGTTAATTTACATATGCTTAATACGGCCCGTCAAAAATGTGTAAATTTCTTTTCATTTTTCATTTCAACCTTTGGAAAGTAAAGTCTGATGATCCTTTAAAAGAGCTGTGGTGAAATAATTTATTACATGGAACCTTAAAGTGGTCTGTTTTTATTTAAATTATTTGCTCTGGATTTACATTGAGCTCTCTGGATTTTATCCTCCTTATACGGATTACCTAGTTTTTCATAAACTAAATATATATATATATATATATATATATATATATATATATATATATGAAGAAATATAGTCTTAAGGTGTGCTATATTTATGGGATAAAGTGCTCAATATCAGAGATAGTGTGTGTAAATATAAAAGTGAACATTGATGTCAACACTTAGAGGCAACTGGCTGTTTCATGCTAGACGCAATCATCAGGCATATATATATATATATATATTTATTATTACTTATTTTTTGTAGATACTCATGTTTGAGTAATTGTTCTGCTTATTTATTAAACAATATATTTATTTTAGCCTACCAATCTGAATATTCAAGAAATCTTATTAAAGAAAAATAAGAAAAAGAAAAATGCCAGAGAGTGCATTGTTTTTATATATATATATATATATATATATGATTTCTTGAGTATTGAGGCCGGTAACCAAAAATAAAAAAAAATATACTGCCTAATAAATAAATGCAGTGTCTACTCAAATACAGGTATCCACTAAAAATAATGTTTAAATAATGAAATCTGTTGGATTAATAAGTAAAGATCCATCACTACTTTTTATATGCATAGCATTTATTTTAAATAAACATGTTAGATTCTTTAAGAAAGGATTCATTATAGGTTGGTCATACAATATGTTTTAGATGTGTGTTTATAGTTGGTAATATTGTTAATAGGCCCTTTGTAAAGAATTATGTTGTTTTTTTAATTATTTACAATTAAATTATTTTAAATTGTTTACAATATAAAAGAATTCATGTTTGAGAGATATCACAAGACCTAAAAGCTGTCTATGAAAACAGAGAGAGAGAGATTTACTTTTAGAAAACCATTCACACTTTTTTGTGATACACAGGATCAAAACTGGCCATAAGTTTGATTTTATTAATGCCACCCTAATTAAAAAAGAACATAATTCTTTACAGAGAAAGTACTTCAAGAGCCTGCTAATTACCAACTATAAATACTCCTCAAAAACATATTACATCACCAAGCTTTATTGAATCCATTCTTAAAGATTCTAACCTGTTCATTTAAAATATATATTGATACACACGTGCACACATTTTTTTTGCATATGTTGCCATTTTTAAATGTTGGCAGTTATTTACTCAATCATATTTACCAGCAATAGACAAAATACCTCTTATCATATGTAAATATACAGAAGTAAGTTTTTCAAGCAAGGTAAAGAAAAAATAAACAGCATTGTATCCAATCAAAGATTTACAAAACCTGATAGTGTGTGATGTCATATTGGTGAAATATTCCATCAGTTGTTCCAAGATAAAGAAATTTCTGGCAAGATCTTTGGTCAACTGGTTTCAAATGATTAATAATTATATTTATCACAATGTAATTCAATTTTAGGACATAGACAAACTTTAATGTAAAAGTTCAATTTAGGATGTTTAAAGAAAAAGGGCAGTATTCAAAATAAAAATCCTGTTCATCTCACAGGCTTCTTGCATGCCACTGAAAAACTTTCTTTGCCTTTCAGGAATTTTTACAAGTCCTTATAATTTTGCTGTTCTTGCAATTAAGAATTATAAGTTATAATATATAAAAATCAGTGCTTTTTAGGGAAAAAGTCTTACCAAACAATTTAGCAAATAGATCCTTAGTAATAAAAGTCCACCACAAACAATATACAATATACAAACTTTATCATCGATTGATTCAGGTTCCTTATGCATTAATTGCAAGATTCTTGTTAATAACGCCCATATTTTACATCATGTTACCGGCCTCAAGTCTCCATTAAATTCCTTATGTGAACACAATTTTCTTCAGCTAGAACACTTTGGAAAATGCCATATTTGCATTCTTATTACACACTGATAAAATCTTCATGCAAAAAATGCTAAACACTGACACAGGATGGCAGTAGCCAATCAAAATGTTCAGATCTTCTAATTTTGAAGGTGAATGGACAACCAGTAGAAAACACTTATCACAATTATGGACAGTTTTTTTGTATTCAGTTATTAATGAACTCTGAGTACTACTGAGTTTGATTATTCTGCTTGTAAAAAAAAAAAAAAGAAAAAAAAATTTGGAGGGGATAATTTTTGAAGACTAGCATTCATTCGACTTTAAAGTCATGACACTCATCAAAATTGAAAAATGTTGACATTTTCTTTTATTTATTTATATATATATATATATATATATATATATATATATAATTTTAAAAGTTTGTAATATAGATGTTTGAAACTCTATTTATGTCATTGATATCTATGTGTGACTAATATTGCCAAACTGTAGTCTACTCCCTAAATTTAATAAGTTTCAAAGATTTTTGTTAAACAATTGCTTCTTTTTAGTTAATATTTTCTTAAAGTAATTTTATTTTTGTTACACTAAGAATTGCTTGTTTAAAATATTTTGTAAAAGTAAATCATATACAAATGTATATATATATTTGTTACTTAAAATAAATCTGTAAAAAAAAAAAAAAAAGAAGAAAGTTTCACCAAAACATGTTAAGGAATTCTTAAATTTAAACTTGATATTTGTAAATAAAAACTAAATACAGATAATTCTTTAAAAACTCAGGGATTGATTTAACACTGTATTTATATTATGAGAAGGACCAGCTTTGCTGCTAAAATAATAAAAAATCAGTACTTTTCAATTCTGATAAATGTCAGGATTTAAGAAGGATCAAATGAATGCTAATGTACAAAAATTATTTTCCTCAAAAGTTTTTTTTTTTTTTTTAATTTTTTTTTTCGTTTTTTTTTTTTTTTTTTTTTTTTTTTTTTCATTTTTTTTCTTTTTTTTTTAAAAAATTTTTTTTTTCATTTTTTTTTTTTTTTTTCATTTTTTGTTTTTTATTTATTTTTTCCATTTTTTATTTTTTTAAAATATATTTTTTTTTTTTTTTTTTTCATTTTTTGTTTTTTTAATTTTCTTAAAATTTAAAAAAAATTCTTTTTTTAAGTTGTTTTTTGTTTTTTATTTGTGTTATTTGTTTTTTATTTTTTTATTTTTACTTTTTTATAAGCAGACTGGTCACTCTATGTAGTGCCAAACTCTACATAGAAGAAAAATTTAATAATTCCTTGGCTGTCACTTCCAACCGTGCTTATGTTGTGAAATATCAAAACTTTAAAGAGAATTTAAGACTTGCTTCTTTTTATTCGCCCTGTTCTCATTATTCACTTTCCCTTTTATATCTGAACAATCCAAGTTTTATTAATCTGCCTAAACTATTAAATACTTGGTTTATACTTCAGGAAGATTAAATAATTTGTAGAATTCGTAAAAATACCATATACAGTTTGACACTTGTTTCAATATCTTGAAAACTATAACATAAATACTGCAAATGAATACTCTAAAATTTTATTTTTAAAAGATAAATATTATAATTTATTTTTGAGAATATCACTATAATTAGAATATGTTAATTACTTTATTAAAAATTAGATTATTTTTGAATCTATTTTTGCTAATGATCACAACCCAACTTAGATTATTTAATAATTAGGAATTCATTTTTGTAAAAATAATCTAATGTAAATTAGTATTGAGTGTTATTAAATCCTAAATTATTTTTATTTATTTTTCATCTTTTTTTTTTTTTTTTTTTGAGTGATCCTCTCACTCCCCCCCCCACCTTCTTTCTGTTATTTACCGTTTTTCACAACATCCTTCTTGAACTTCATGTTCTTTCATCTGTTTCATTTCAAGTCATCTGTTGAGACTTCTGCTTTGCCTGCCCTAGTGCCTGATACTCCACCACTGACAACTCTTGATACACAATCTCCCCGCAGCCCCATTCCTCCCGGTGAGTAGATGAACGATTCTACCAACTGTTCTTACTTAATTAAAAAAAAAAAAAAAAAATACAAACAGGAAAAGTGCTCCATCAACCTGACAGACATTTTACAGCATTTAACCACACACAGATTTTAATTCTAAAGAATTTCCTTAAACCTTCTTCCTCTTCTTTTCTCTCAATATTTTGGTAATTCTCAAATGGCAGCAAAAATGCACATGATGAAATTTATTCTACAAGTTTTGTAATTTGAGTACACTCTCAAAAAACGAATAGATTTTTAATTCTGCCATTTTTCAATTATCAAAGCATTTTTAAAGCCTCCAAATTATTTAAAAAAATTTTTTTTTTTACACATTCCTTTATGGATTCAGTTCTGTCCCTGGTGCCAAAATTTTGGATTATCCAGGATTAGCATAAACTTTTGGTTATCCAGAATCAGCATAACCTTTCGTTAATATAAGATATTTATTAAAATAATCCCTCAATAAGTGATCAAGTTTTCTTTAAACAACTTCCATTACTTACTTTAGCTTAGTCTGGCACAAGACTGCAGCAGTGGGGCATCTCTACACAGATTACCATATTCGATGGTATATGAGATACTCCCTCCCCTGCCATTTACATTTAATATCACATTATTATGGAGTTAGGCTATAGGTGTAAGTATTAGTTGTCTGCAATATCTGAGTAAACATTTGCCTATGAATCCTGTAAGATACATTTTGAGCCTTTGTTAGGTTGGGGGTGTGGGTTTTATATGCCATGAAATACAGTAGTCAGCAAGATGTGTTTCTTAATCCTTGTACCAACATGGGAACCCTGGAATACTTTTGTGTTAGTCTTTACCACATTTTACATTACTTTTATAATTTTTGACTGACTTGCTAGTTTATTTAATTGTATACATCATCAGATTTTTTTTTATTACCCTCCAAGTAATTACAAATGCAGCAGCATCTTGTCTGCAATTGATGGTTAAAGAAAAGACAGATGAGATATTTCTAGAGCGTTGGCACAGGGTATATTATTAAAACACCTGGTGAAGAATAAATTTGCTACCAATGGCTTGCATGACTAACTTAAATGTCCATTAATCTAGAATGACAGACTAATTAAAACCATGGAAAATAATTAATTCTAAAAAAAAAAAAAAAAAAATTATATTTATTCTATAATGAAGAGAAAAAGAATAATGTAACTACCTTAGTCTGACACAAGGCCATGATTATGAAACACTCAATGAAGATGAAATGGTCTGTTCAATGAGATTGTGAACTATTATCTCGTAACAATTGCCAAGGTATTTATTAATAGTCTACAAGGGTAGAGCATTTGGGAGGATAACACTCAGTTATAATGGTCTGCTTGACGAGCTCATTAACCATTACCCTATTATGAGGTTACCATTTTGTTTGTATTTTGAAGAAGTAAACATGTCTTATTGGATTTGTGGCAGTTGTTTGATACCAATTATGAAAGCCACAAAACTACCACACTCTGACAGATATGTCCAGGAAAGTTAAAATTGAAAAATGGTTTTAAAAAAACAAAAAAAAACTCTTTTCACTTCCTCCATGGAAGTTAAATTGTTTTATGATCAATCAAGGCTGGTCATCAGTGGGGAGGATAATAGATGCTTATAATAGTCATTGAAAGATTTTTAAGATACAAAACTTTTATAGGATTTACCTGATTCTATCAGAGAAATCAGACACTTACCTGAAATTTTAGAAAACAATTAACCTTGTATCTCAATTTTAGAGACATTTTCAGACATGTCATATACATGGGAAGATAGCTTTAAAGGAACTGTTCAGTTATACTTCTAACTCAATTTTTATGAAAACTGGACTTAACTAATCTTGTCAGTACATAACTGAAAACCTAATCTTTTGTTGAATTATGAGATACAAAAACTAATTTTAATATTAAAAGAAAATCAGTTGTGTTTAGAAAGGAACAAAGTATACATACAATTAAATCTTTTGGGTCTTGCCACTGGATCTAACTAATGCCTTCATCTACTGTGCCATGTGTCCTTGAGTGTGAGTTCAATACCCGGTTAAGGCAGTGGAGAACTTGGAGAGGGGAATTAACAGGAGATAACTGATAACTATTAAAAACATGGCACATGGGACTAGAACAGTCTACCCCAGTGAACAAAATAAAGGGTTCAGTTCAACATTCCAACCAGCTGAAGAAGGCTGGAGCGTACAACGGCCGAAACGTTGTAATAAATATGATGACAAAGATGAGGACAATAGTCCAAATAATGTAAATAGTGGATAAATTTGATTGTATTATTTTTACTTCTTTCATTTTCTTATTGCAACACCAATTGTGTTGCTTTTAAAATCAAACTCCCAAGGATAAAGGCTTCAAATCTTATTAGAAATTAATTCTTTATTTTAGATCCAGGTTACATGACTGAATGGTTGTAGAATGTTAAGATGACCATCAGTCTTGCAATAGAAAAGAAAAAAAAAAAACAATAATGATAACCTATGTTTTTGTTTTTTTTTAACTTTATCATGACCAACACAGGACCAAAAAGTCTGTAAGCAACTGAAGGTTAAAATATAAATCAGTTGTAGTTAGGATACTGTTATAAAACTAACTTTTTAATGCATTGAGTGACACTCCCATAAAAAAAAAAAATCATATTTAATATATGTTATATACTGAAGTTTTCAGGCTGACCCACTTCCCAAAATCTGTGTATTACATAATACTAATAAAATAATGTCACACTATACAGGGAAGTGTTTAAAATTTAACATTTAAAATTTAATTTTTTGATGATTCTCTTTTCTGCACTTTCCTTAATATTTATTCTTGTATACAAACATCTTTTTCTCTTTCTTGCACACTACCCCCCCCATCCACCTCACGCTTCTTTGGAGCAAATTTAATGTTTGCTGAATGAGATTGCACATTTTAAATGGTTTTATGATGATTTTATTTTTCCTAAGTTAAATGATCAAAATTGCCATATTACAGGAGCTCCTTTTATATCTTTTGAAACCTCACAGGGAGCCATTGCATAATAAATACTTACTTGTTCAAATATAAAATCATTTTGAAATTATTAGAAAACAATGGCTTCAATTTATCATTTTCATGACTATACTGTCATTAAATTTAGAAGAATTTCAAAAATATTTCTTACTATAATTCTTTTTAGTTTTTGACATTAGACTATTAAAATTTCCTCAGTACTATCAAGAAATTTCTGTAATATGGTAAAAAAAAATTGAAGATTGACTTTTAAAATTTTTTTATATATTTTTATTTACTTTTAAAAAATCTCATCAAAGAAAAGCAGAACTTTGGAGAAAATTGTCTGTCTTGCAAGAAGCATGCCTTTTTATACACATGCAAATACAATTTACACTTTCTTTGTGATGAGAAATTTTTGTTACCTGATCCCTCTTTCAGATGAGCACTTTTTTTTTTAGTAGCTTTCCAAACAACTAAAATTTCATCTTAAAATATTTAAAAGGTTTAGCTTGTACAATGACAAATAGAAGAAATTAGGGGAGTGAAAGATTGTGAGTCGGCAGGGTTCTAAGTAGACCTGTTTGCTCTGAAAATTAGGATTTTAAATTTTGGCCTTTTTTTTATTAAGCTAAGTTTAAGTATAGAGAGAAAGATGTACACAACATCAATGTTCTAAGTAAAGAAGATCTGTCTATGAAAATCAACACATGAAACATATTTCTTACTTTAACCAATATTATGCATTTGCTAATGCCACAGCTGCATAAAATTTGCCAAATGAAACTGAAAACAAAAAAAAAGTTCTTAGAAAAAAACGGTTTTCAGCTATGTAATTTGGTTCTTTTTTATTTTATTTTTTTTTTTAAGAGTGTTGGGAACTCTTTTATAAACTTAATAGAAATTTAGATTAATCAAAATGTTTCCTCTTGGGGAAAAGCATGAATACACTTTTCCCTTTCCTTTGTCCAAACACCAGATATTTTGATAAAATGCTTTTTCACTGGCATGCATCTTTTTTTGCACTATATCTTTTCATGAAGGTGAATGAGAAATCAGAAAACTGAGGTCAAATTCCAATCCGATTTGTTACATTCCACCTATGTTACATGCTTATGTCCTTGGGAAAGGTATGAATCCATCTGTTCTCCCCCTCCCCAGCAGATTGAACAGTGGGATAAACTGGACCATATAACCTTGGTTAGCAACCAGCCTACTGCAAGGAAATCTTCTGCTTAGCCGGTCATGAATCAAAAGTATCATAATCACGTATGGCACTTGACCTTTTTTTTTTTTTTTTTTGACTTTTCATGTAGGCGTCATAGCACTCCACAGCTTCCTGTGTTTTATTCCACAATTTTTTTAAATGAATGGGCAAAATGCTTTCTCATAACTATCTATCCACACAGTAGCAACAAAATCCCGTTACTGCCATAATCTACTTTGGCATGAGCCAATAAGAAATCAAGTAATGCCGACAGTGTATTAGTTTTATTTATTTATTTTCTATTTTGTATCTTTACCATTTTTTAATTTGGTATATTCAGAATTTTGTCAAATCCAATGTAACACTTGAATTGTCTCCCTTGGATTATGTGCTTATTTAAAGGGAGACAACTAATATAGGTTGGTTTATATCTACATGTTTACGAACACTTAAATGATGAAAGGTATGAATCCTCTTCTATTCCGATCTATGGGTAAATAGCAGAACAGACCAGATTCTATAGCCAATTTGTCTACCGCAGAAAGAAATGCAATCTACTGCGGGGAAAAAATCTGCCACGTCAGTCATGTATCGAAAGATACATGATCGCCTAAGCGTGTATCACACATGGCACATAACTAACTGAAATACTGAAAATTTCAACTTGGACAACATTAAAAATTTGACAATCTTGTTATACTTGCTGATACATCGTTTTAACCTAATAATGCTGTGATTGCTTGATAGTAGTAAAAGCAATTGCTCTGTTGGAGTTATGTCAAAATATTTTTTTGCCTATTTTGTTGGTTGCTTAATCTTTAGATTGGGTCATTTTGGACAAACTATATAATCTGCTATGATACTGATGCTACTAATACACTGGTCAAAGATTCTATATTTCCCACTACTGTCTGAGATTAGGGTTCAAATCTAGTTATAATCAGAAAACTTCAGATGTTGAGTTGTATGACAAGTAAAAGTAAGTCATTGACATTAAAAATAGAAGCTGACTTCAGATTTTGGCCTAGTCTATTGTTTTGACTGTTCCTTGAGGAAATACTGGGATCCATTTCTTCTCTTTCCAACTATTGATTAAATAACAAGATAGACTGAGCTCTCTAGGCTTGCTTGGCAGCCAGTCTAAGAGGAGGACTACTCTGAATTCAAAAATGGAGAAGGCAATGGGAAATTCTTCAAGAAATCCTGGCAGTTCATAGATAATAAAGAAATGGAATTTGTGGAGACCCAAGATGGTTCATGTCTGCAAAGGACATGGTATTTAAGAAATGAGTAATCCTTGGTTTGAAAGATTGGCCTAACAAAATTGTTTTATTTTCTTCATTTTCCCTAATAACTTACTAAGCTAAATAAATACTGACAACACACTCTTGAAAAGTTTATCAATATAAATATGCCAGCAGCAGTGATGAAGGTTTATTAATAAAACATTCCTGATTGATACAACAATTTTTGTCAGATGGGTGGAGATAGATAATAACTTATATTTTAACAAACACTAGATTAGAATCTAGTATGCAGGGATAAAGCTTTAGTTTGTTTTTCTGCCCACTGACCTTAACACTGTGTCACCACTTTTAATCAATAAACCTTTTTTTTGTGGAAAAGTTTAATTTAATTTTGCAATTTTGAACCTAAAATGTGTTTTTACTTTATCTCTCAGTATTCAGTTTGTTTGTTGTGCAAGGGAAAAAAGGTATTGTCAATGGTCAGGAATTAATGCAAGAATTATGGGTAAACTATAAATGAAGGTAACAAGATTAAAAAAAAGATGAAGCTGTCAGAAGGCAACTGGATAGTTCATCGCAATTTTTAAATTTTTTTATTTTTTTTATTTTTTAAGAGAAATGGTAAAAATAGTTGTTATTGAAAACAAGAAGCAACTGCATGTTGATTACTGTGCATGTCAATCTGGAAGTTTTTATTTACATTAATCTTTTATTTTTATTCAAGAAGATTGTAAAAGATTTTTTTTTTTTATTACCAGTTCACTGTATGTTTCTAAGTTATGAAACAATATTTTCTGTCTGAAATTTGAGATGAAGTAAATTTTTCATTAATTCATTTGGTGTGTTCTCCTCGTTTTGACTGTTAATTTTCAGTGTTTCAGCTGCTCCAGGTCTTCTTCAGATGCTAGTTGCATTCAGTCTTTGATGTCACTTATTCTACTCATTCTATCTGATTAAATAGGGAAAGAGAAAGTTTTCAAAGAATTTATGTGCCAGATATACAACTTACTGTTTTTTGTTGCTCTCAGTAACTTTTAATTCCTTTTTGATCAAACTCATTAAGTAGGTTACTCACTCTTCCTCTCTGCATCTCTTGCCTTCAGTATGTCTTGTGAGTTAAATTCTTAACAATCTTTGAAATTATGACTATCCAGAGGTTACTGCTTATTTCACCTATCTTTTCGATCTTCATATTTAATCAGACAGAATGAGTAGAAGACTGAACATAAGTAGAACCTGAAGAAGACCAGGCAGTACAGTAGCTGAAACCCTGTTAATATAAAAACAGCCAAGAAGAGTACAACAGCCCAAATGAGATGATATTTGTTTCTCTGTTTTATGTCCCAGATAGAGATTAAACTTATTTCTTTCTCAATTTTCCAGTTCTGGACTCTTCTCCGATTGAATCAAATCCAAAGTCTTTATTTAATCTGTTTAGTATTGGATTCTTAAATATTGGTGTCTTGTTTTCATGTGAATGTTGATAGTATAAGGCATAAAATAGTTTTTCTTTAATCAAGCCAGAAAATTGCATTGAATGTTTGGCTGTCAAAGATGTTTGACCCCTGCAAAAAAGAAAATGTGGAGGAAACAAGAGAAACTGAGGTCCCAAAATAATTTCTCTTCTCTTGAAGATTTTCAGATATTTGTCTCCATTCATTGATTTTTCTACTCACTATCATTGACTACAAATTGAAAAGAATCTTAAAAAAAAAAAAAAAAAAAATTAAAAGCTGATTTTTTTTGTATAGAGTTGGATTTATGAAACAGGTTAAGGAAAATCTATTCAAGATAAATTTAGTACAAATCAAATTTGAGCAATTTATAAATTTAAAAACTAAAAATTTTTTTTTTCATAAATTTTAATTCATGGTTTACAGGATTTCAGATGCCAACGAACAGGTCAAGTAATTTTGCATTAATTCTTCAATCTTTTTAAAAAATATTTGTTAATTTGGAGATTTTTTTTTTTTTTTTTTTTATCTCACAAAATTTATATTTTGAGTTTTAAATAATTTTTTAAAACCAAATCTTATCACAGCCTGCCATAATATTACAAGTTGTTTTTGCTGGTGCTTTTTTTTTGTTATGAAACTGGTTCCAGTTTCTTGTGGGTTTTAATCAATATTTTGTAGGAGAAAAATAACCACAATATTTGCTTTATGCATATTTACAAAAAATCTGATTCAATTTTTATGCACGAGTGTGAATGTTAAGTTGATTTTTATATGAAAACATGTCACTTTTAACTATTTTTTTTATCCAAGTCTGATGAGAAAGAAACTCTTTTGAAATTCTTGCTTTTTATCAGGTTCTTAAAGGAAAAACAACTTCCAACTTAATTTGGTCTATTTACAAAACTACAAGATAGGTATCTCTTTGATTCAAAACTTGTAAAACTTTGTCTTGTCTTACCCAGATGAAGGATGTGTGGGTGGTGTAATGGATAGCGGCTCGGAATGAGAAATCCGAGAGCCAAGTTCAAATTCCAGTTGAGTTTGTTACATTCACTTATGTGCAAATACCCTTGGGAAAGGTATGAATCCATCTCTTCTACCCCTAGCTATGGCTTAAAGAGTAGAACTGAAAAAATCATGATCTGTAAAAAAAAAAATTTGTTAATGCATTATTCACTGGCAAAAAAAATATTATTCTTACAATCCAAAATGTGTTGGCTTTAAATAACCTACAAAGGGTTGATAAGCCATAAAAAAACAAATCAATCAATACCCAGATGAATATTTCAATTTAAAATAGGCATGAGGTAATTTTTTTTTTTTTTTTTTACAAGAAACAAAATTACAATCAGGTTACACAAAGAAAATAACACTAGATAAGAAAGAAAGAAAGAAAGAAACAAACAAACAACAAATTAAACTAGGTTTAGTAAATTAAACTAGGTTTAGTAAATATCACTATTGTTTTATTATCCAGCTTCATAGTTAAGATATTTTTTTTTATTTCTCAGTATTCAAACTCGAATAAAAAGTTGGATTTCAATGCTAATTTTCAAGGTCGGCAAGCTATCCTCACTTCCCAATTTTACTTTTTTGTTATCTTAAACAAAGATTAATGATTAATAAAGTGGTGTTCTTTTATTAAAGAATTAATGATGGGGGAGAAGAAATATTGTCAATGATTTTTCTAAGATAGAAAAGCCTATTGATCTTTCACAGGATTATGACATATGCACTTGTCAAGAAATTTTATTATTATTCTTGGTTTCCTTGTACAACTTTTCCACAAGTTGGGTGGCATTTGTCTGGGGAAATATGCAGAGCTGAATGGCCTCTTAAGCTAGAACTGAATGAAGTAAAAGCTGTAGAAACAGCCTTTTAATTCTTCCTCCCCAAACCACCTTTTCAATATAACTAATAAAGGTGTTTTTGCTTGAATGTCGTCGCATTAGACTATTTTGAACCTCCAGCTTTCCAAAGAATACCAGGATGTCGACAAAGGAATTCTGCCTACCACACAGACGCCACATTAATTCTTTAAAATGACTGAGATGAACTTTGGGCAGTTTATTTATAATTTTGATCACAATACACACCTTAATTGAAAATTGGAAAAATACAAAAAAGTTAAACAGACGGACATCTTAATCAAACTTGTTTGAATACTTGCTGTCAAATAAAAAAAATGACTACTTACTCACAAAATTTGAGGATGGCTGCCAAACAGGCCATATAAGATGAGACAATTACCCCCAACCTCTAAAAACCCAATGGTACCTATATGATTGTTTATTGTTATTCATAGCTTATATGGACTCTCAACATAAGACACCCTTGATCCAATATACATACTTTTTCCTAGAGTATAAAAGGAAAAACAGACTTCTTTTGGCTGCTTGAAGACAGATTTTAAATTTATTTTTTAGGAACAGCAATTTTATTTGAAAGCACTTACAAGTTGTTAGTATTGTAAGAATTAATGATATCATAATAAATTTTAAAAGAAAGGGATTTTTTTTTGATAAAGTAAGAAAATAAAACATTTTAGTCACTTTGGAAAATGTATTTATATACATATATGTAGATAAAAGTAACATTTTAACCTCAAACTCTATATGACATTGCAAGAGTAAATTAAAATTTATTTTTAAAATTTTAGTCTTATTTATAACAAACCTTCTGCTATCTAGTGTTTGATGGCATATAAGACTTTTTCATCTTTATTTCCACCCACCAATGGTTCTCAATATACACTTCAAGTATAATACCCAAAGTAGAACTATCTGGTAGACAAATATTTATTCAGCTGCCCTAAATACTCAAAATTTGTACCAAACCTAACACAATAATACTGTAATATTAAGCAGGGATGGGTCTTATACGCCATGAAATGTGTAATCTATTAAGTTTAATTCATCTTTAAATATAGAAAATAACTTTAAATTAAACCAACATAATATTTTAAATCTTTATCTCTAAAGGACAAAAACTATATTTTTTATTTTTCACTATTGTTTTTTTTTTTTTTTTTTTTTTTTACTTATTTTTGTAGCAAGTGTTCCATCTACAACTACCACCAAAAAAAGTGAGCAAAAAACAGTCGAGCAAAGATTCAGCCAGTCCCCACCGCGCAACATCCCAGAAAAAAGCCTACAATTAACTGCTACCAAAAGTCTAGACTCTCTTGCACCATCAACTGCTTCAAGTTCTTCCACTCCAGCCATTGCTGCCTCCACCTCTGCCACTCATAGTGCCAGGTCTAGTAAGATTCCATGTGAATATGGCTATGTGGAGATACCTGCTTCAGCACCTCGTCACTTCAAACCTCCATCTATAGTCACTGCCAAAATGTGTGTGAAAACCACTGCACCTAAACCGCCAAGTCAGCCAAAGTATAAGGAGGAACAGTTTGAATCTGTACCAACATTAGGTGGCTCCACCCAACGGACTAGTGGACATCGGAATCTAACGTCAACATCAAGTGCCCCAGTGGTGCTCACATCAGTTACACCAATGGGGCAGGACTATGGCGATGTTGCCAAGTCATCAGTGCATGAATCTGTCTCTTCATTAACAAAGAAAGATGCAAAGTCCCACATAACAAAAGGAGTTTTACCCTCAACTCAATCTGCTTCACCGTCACCAGAACTGCAATCCCTTATTGCTTCATCTACAAGCTCTGATGACCGAGAGCCACGTTTTGTTTAGAGAACTTTTAATTACAAAAAAAAAAAAAAAAAGATAATTAAATTAAATGAAAATACATTGTTTTAAAACATTTATTTGTCTTGTCAAGGATATTTTTCTCTCTCCTTTCTTCTTTTTCTTTAAATTAATTATTTTTTCACAATTATGGTATGAATATATTTTTGTTTTGTCTAGCAAACTTTTTTCATTATAGCATTTTCTTTAATCACCTGAAAGCTAGAATGTTTTAAAATATTTTAAATGTCAAATCTATTTTGTTAAAACTGTTTTGATTTTTTTTTTAATTTTTAAAACTAGTTTTAGCATCTTCTGAAGCTTTGTTTCTGTACAAAACAATAAGCATAATTTGTTTGACTTGTAAATTTAAAGATTTACTGTTTCTGCCTTAATATCTCTACAAATCTTCAGCAAATGATAAACACAGATAAATCCATTTCTGTTAAGTTTCATTTAAAAACTACTTCCAATTTTAGGTGACTTCTTTTAAATGACATTCTTTATAAATTAAACATTTACTTTGGAATAATGCATTTCTCTCCTTGCCAAGATTATTTTTAAGCAGATGCATACTTGTGTTCTGAAAGGTGGTGAATTTAATTTTTTTTGTTGATATGAATGTAGTTTTTGTCAATCATACTGGGCATTACAGTTTTGGCTCAGTTGTAAACATATTTTATGAAATATTTATTTTTGTGTAGAAAAGCTCAATATTATATAATTTTTGTTTATATATCCTTATATATAGTAGAGTAGATTATTTACTATATGGCTAACATTATCAGATGTTCAGTACTATAATCAAGGTTTTTTTTTTTTTTTCTTAATTACAACTAAAAAAAGAAAAGGTATTTATTTCACTGCTATAATAATACAAATCAATGTTATTCAGTATTTTGATCCTTTGTTTTCGTATGCTCTTGTAGTGTGATGAATTCATGAACTGAAATTATGTACTGTAGTAGTAATTGTATGCATAGTTTGAGAGAAACCAATCTTTTTATATCTTTGAGAATCTATTGTTTTCGGCTATTTGGTTTGCAAATATTTCTCTTTGCACCATGAAAATAAAACTTTTTAGTTTTACACACACAAATGCACACACATACACACACATGAAGGAAAGTGGAGGTGCATTTTTTATATTTAAATTTGTTCAGATGTGCTTTTCAGTAAATTTATCAAGTATTTTTATCAAAGTAAATGTTATTTGAAACCATTTGCTTATTGCTAATTCATTTCTCCCAGATTTCTATAAGAGTTAATGAATAATGAAAAAAATCACATACACAATTTACTGATTTATTTTGTAACTAAAAAGACAATAGAATATAAATAAAACATGATAGAAAAAAATAGTGGTTATGGCATATTCAGCCTGAAAAGGGGTTAATTACTTTCTGTTTTAAAAGATCTGTGAGATTAGCAGAAATTAAATCTTTTTAAAGGATGAAATTAGTTTTGGAGATTGGTTTTGAGAAACATTATTAACAGTAATTGATAGCAGAGAAATTTACTTCTTCCTCCTCCTCCTTGTGTAATTGTACAACTTAATGTTTCTTATCCTTGCTTACTGCCATATTAACAGTGTCTTTTTTATTAAAAAAATCTCAAAAAAGCAATTAATTCTATTCTAAATATTTTCTCCCATTTTGAAATTTTGCCAAAGACAAGTGAATTAACACTTGGTATTTCGACATAATTCAGCAAATGTTTTCTATTTTAAAAATTTGTTTGAAAAGTGGGAGTCCTGGGATGACGAAGTGTAGCTAAATAAAGAAATTTAATAGGGAAGAAGTCCCCAGCTTTTTTTTGTTCAAATTTGGTGCTGCTTGTTTTAAAACTGTTGTCTTAAGATTGTTGAGATTGCTTTTTTGCAGGGCAGAGGGTTAAAGATTCACAAAAGAATCTTTGTTGTGCGACTCAAAATCTTATACAGTAAAAATTGCCGTTTTTTGGTGTAATGTTATTTGGTTAACCATATTTTGTTTATGTGCATATGTAGAAAACTGTTTTGAAGAGGTTATAGTGCAAACATTTTAGTTAATTATCAATATTCCAACAAATGCATATACACTCATCCATATTTGTTTACTTTCACATACAATTTCATTTTGTTTCTTTCATTTAACATCTGTTCATCATGTTTATGAAGGACACACTGGAAACAACAATAATTTTTTGTTTATTTTCTTCCTATTATTGCAATGATTTCATTGTTCCTTGAATAGGAATTGTTTTTATCAATCTGATTGAGGGCATAGTTTGAAATATGAGCATTCATCCTAGTTGTGGCACCAGTATTTATCATTGTGTTCTCTTGTTATTCTATTATCATCCTGGCTGAAAGTGCAATACATTTATTATTATCATCATCATCAATGTCCGTTTTGTGTTTAAGACGTAATATTTTTAAGATTCAAGTTAAGTTTGACTTGTTTGACAACCTAAGCTGTGCTGAATATAATTATCAAAAGGGCAGAAGAAAAATTGTTTAAAAAATCAAAATTGTTCAGTTATAATTTCAGGTATTTTTAGTTTTATTTCTTTTATAATTTCTCCTTCAGATTTAAACAAAAATTACTTGGCTTTCATGTTTACTTTAAAATAAAAATAATTACACACACACACACACACACACTTTTTATGCTTGTTGAGATTTAACAAAATCTTTCTATTGAAGAAACAAAAAAAAAAAAACAAATACTCAATCTCCCATTGCTCAATAAAGCAAAATGAAATAAAATTGTACAGGACCCACCCCCACTTTTTATTTTTAAATTTTCTTCATCATTTTGCTTTCAGGCATAACAAACTGTCTCTTCATGAACAAAATAAAAAAAAATTATGTCCCCCACCCAGTCCCAGAAGACAAACTGTCAGAAATTTTAGACAATTCTTGTATTAATTTCTGATTCCTGATTAAGCTTAAATGGTCTGACTAGTATTCCTTTGAAGGGCAGCTGTGATTTGACCTGCAAGCTCAAAAAATCAAAAAATTTATATGTTATCTAAAATGTCATTGGATTTTTTTTAATCAATTAAAGGTTCTTGTTGGCCTATAAACAAAATATATATATATAATTTTAAAAATACAAAGAAAAGTTTGCCTATTTTTAATACATTTTACTAACCAAAATTCATTATCCAAACTGAAAACTGACAGTATGGGGAAACCTTTTATATGTTGATAGGAGAAACTCAGTGTGCTCTTTGTGGATATAATTTCCTGTCATTCATTTATGATTTGATGAATTGGTATCAACCTACATACAAACACATTTTTATGGTAATAAAAAGTAAAAAAACAAACTTTTTTTTTGCCTTGTTTTTGTTTCAAAATTTAACAAAAATTGCATTTTCTTTATTACAGGAAACTAATTTTAAATGGTTTTCTAACTTCAAAAATCTTGAGAATCCTCTAATTTTAGTGAAACTTTCCTTTTATTTTCAGTTGAAATTGTTGTTCTGTCCAATTTTATCTACTCTTTGTCTTTCCTACATCGTTGGAATTATTCCTGCTTCACTCTGTTCTGCTTCTATGTTATTTTCTGTTGGGGAACTTGATTCACTTGTAGGCGTAGCTTTGACTGATTTTACTGCATGTTCGGCAAGAAAAGCAGCTCGCCTTCTTTCAATTCTGGCCTGCTTTAATTTTTCAGCTGCTTTCAGCCGAGCAATATGTCGGAGTTCCAGGAGTTTCTGGGCTGGACCAATAAATTTCTGGATGAAAAAAATGTGAATTTGATGTGTCCAGAAATTGTATTTTTTTGTTGCTTGGTCCAAATCCTCAGATGAAGGCTCTCCATACTCTTCAACTAGAACAAAAAAAAAAAACCAAATATTCATATGCACTCACTCTTAAATTAATCAATATACTGGTTAACTCATTAAGTGTAGGTGATAGGAATTTACATTATTACAGTTCTTTGGTCCAACTGCAAATGGTTTAAAAGACTCACAATATTACAAATGTTAGTTTCTTACTTTATTTTTAATTTTTTTTAAATAAGAAGATAATTTCTTATTTAAAAAATTCAAATAAAAACTGTTAAGTATCAAACTATTTGTCTTCATTTTAGATGCTGTGACTATAACAACCAAAATAAGGACACAAATCCAAGCAACAATGACAGCTTGGCAAATTTTAATTCCTAAAAGTGACTAAAGCATTACATGGTGGTTCAACCTTCAGTTCAGTGTACTAATTTATGAAATAACCAACAAGGAAAGAGCTTTCTGTCTGAAATTTTGGGCTGTGCTCTCTGGCTTTTACCAGGTGATTCTCTATCTGGTTAATCTTCTGGGTATTTTGACCTGAAGCCCTTAAATCTATAGGGGTAGATTGTTCTCATTCTGCTGTCCATGTCCAGGGATATCTCATCTAGTTCTTATTTAGTACTGCTCAGTTATTGCTTGCTCTGTTTTCACTGAATCCAAGTACCACGTTGTGTGACTCAGAGTTTGAACTTGTAATTACTATGTCATCAAATTCACAAACCAGTGATTTAATCTGCTAGTCCAGGGGTGGGCAATTAACAGCCTGTGAAAGCATTCAGCAAAAAAAAAAAAAAATCTTCCAAATCAAAAATGTTCATAAACTGATCATAGTGAACTATGAGAGCTGAGGCTAACTTGAACTGAGACTTGTTTCCATTGTGTCAAAGAAAATTAGCTCCATGTTTTAATAGCCAGATACCTACTGTGCATGCACCTGTTCATATGCATGTGTGGTCAATGTTGATACCCATATTGCCTGCAATTCTGTTTCATTTCAGTTTTGTCTTTGCAAAGGTAAGATCTGTAACCTTCCAACCTGAATGAACTATGGGCCCTCCTAAAAAGTGCAAAATCAAAAATGAAGGCTGTGCATTTAAAGAAGACTGGACACAAAAATATTTCTTGAGTAATTCCAGGAATAAGGTAGTGTGTTTACTGTGTCATGAGTCAATTGCTGCATTCAAGGAATACAATTTTGAAATGACACCACCAAACAAAACATGCCAAGTTTGGTAATGAAATGTTCCAGGAACAAAGCTGCAGATTGTGTTACAAAGCTGATTGAAGCAACAGACCATATTTACGAAGCAATTGGCACTTCAGGATAGTGCTACAGAGGCAGGCTTCATTGTAGCATACAACCTCACTAAAATCAACAAGCCTTTTTCTGATGGTGAATTTGTTAAGCATTGCTTCGTAGATTGCACAAATGTCCAGTGTTCTGATGCAAGAAGCAAATTTGAAACCATTTCATTATCAAGTACAAACTAACACAACAGCTGAACTCTGCAAACAAAGATTTAGTTTTTTTTGTTTTTTTTTTAACACTGGATGAGAGCACCAATAATCAAGATACTGCACAGTTACTTATCTTTATCTGTGGAATTGATAAAGATTTCTTCATCACAGAGGAACTAATTGGTTTGGAATCGATGAAAAATACCACCACTAGTCAGGACTTGTTTGGGAGTGTTGTGGATTATTTGGAAAAATGCCTTGTCATGGAATAGAATAGTAAACATTACCATAGATGGGACCAAATCATTTACTGGAAAAAATGTGGGTATGATTAAACTTTTAGAGAACAAGTTAAAATCTATAGCTAAGCCTTCCTCCTGTTGGCATATGCCAGACACTAGTTGGAAGAATGTTATCTTTACACAAAAATATCAACATTTCCATCAGGTTGTCTATTGGAATGCAAATACATTCTCCAAGGAAGAGGTTTGATTCTAGTTTGAACCATCAATAGAGCCTCATCTGTCAGAACTCAAGCTCACCACATTCAAGCTTATCATCCAACTGCTATGTATCAGAGCCCCTTTGATCAATTCTACAAATAGTTCTAACATATAAGGAGGACTTAGCTGCTAGTGGGTTGACTATATCCACCAGGAAACTGCTCAGAAGGTGGCATGCTGAGCTTCTGCAGCTTCTACAGATCTCAATGGAATAGTAACTTTGAATATTGGGGAGACCATACATCTGTGGCAACTTGGTGTAGCATTGAGTCAACTGTCTATACATATTCCATGAAGTAGTGTTTGTTCTCATTTAGGATCTGATAGTTTACTGTCTTCAAGGTTAGATCCTTTTTCATTTTGCTACAGCTATCATCCCCAACTAGGCTAAGAAAAAAAAAACCTGTCTTTATTCTGAACAATCACAACTTGTTTCTATCAAGGCTGACAATGAGTGTAGTAGATTATTTTTAACTGTTACTGCTGCTTGAGCAGTAAATTTTGGGAGAGTGATTTGTCTACTAACTTTCTTCTCTGCCAGTCATTATGCCTGCTAACAAGAAGACATTTTTGTCAAAATATCTGGCAATGAGATGTAAATTCCTCCCTATCCCACCCCATTGTGGCTTAGTCATTCTGTTAGGTAGTCAACATTCCAATAAAGGCCAGAGTAAAAAGACAATAGCAAAAAGATAAGGATGGACACTCAAGCATTTTGATTACCAAAGTTATGGTATCATTCATGAATGATAAATTTTGTTTTGTTTATTTATTTATTATTTTTTGTATTTTTTTCTTTTTAGCCATTAAATTAAGCTTCAGGAATTATTATGACTGCCAATGTAGTTCTTTTCCCTTGACATGAAGTAATACTACACTCTGAATGGTAAGGTCATTTTGGAAGTACAATTTACCAAAATGTTCGCTCATCATCTCTCTTTGCTAACCATTTTAACATGTCAAAAAAAAAAATGTTTTCCAAGATACTGAGATTTATCAGGAAATTTACCATCACCAGGTAAGTTTTTCTTAATTCATTTTCTCATACTTACTTTACAGTCACCTTCTAAAATTTTAGAAGTTTCAGTCAGAAATCTTGACTGGCATTTATTTCCACTGGCAAAAATGTGTTGATTTATAAGTCATTATCAAAGATGAAATCACTAATTTAAAGGACAATTCTGCAATCTTAAAAACCTTCAAAATAGGCTTTTTAAAATTAAAATTAAATTTTCAAATTTGACCCATTTTATCATTGTCAAGAAATATCAAATTTCTGTCATCCATTTGATTGAAAAGTAATGAAAAATTAAAAATATTCTGTATAAAATAAACTTCTAAAAGTATTTGTTATTTGATTAACAAATGTTATGTTATGAACTATGCTGAAAATAACTGAGTGTGCTGGATTCAGACCAATAGAAACCAGAATTTACTAACAAATCCAGTAAGACCAAGTAATACTTTAAAGCTCCAATCCCATTAACTCCTCTGTGAGCTGTATAAATGTATTTTCTATTATATAAGACTTCTCCAAAAACTTAAGATAAACTATAATTTGAGATAATTTTAGTACAAAAGTAATGATTCCAACTTAGCAGTAAAAAGACATTTTGTGAATAGATTGATAAAGGTTTTAGAAACCCGATGTATGGCTTAAACTAAACAATAAATTAAATGTATAATATTGCTTAGGGAAACAAAAATACGATAATGGAATTTTCAAAAAAAAATGAAAAAAAGGCATGTGTCAAACTAGATGACTGAAATTTATTACCTTTGTTTGAATTTTCAAAAAAAAGGTGCATGCTTGGACAATGGCAGTCTGTTTAAAAGCCAGCCATACAGCAAGTCACATCACACACATTCCACTGATGACACTGTCAGGTAAATGTTGCATTTGTGACACTGCATGTCTCGCAAGATGACTTCTTCAAGGACAGTCCATTTGAACTCTTGCAAGACTACAGTCTACATAATTTTAAGTAAGGTGAATTATTCTATAGTAGGACCAGCATCTCTATATATGATAATTCTTTTTTTGTCTTACAAAGTAAAAGAAATGAAGTAGGAAGAAAACAAAATGATTCTCTTAAAAATATTAAGGAAAAAAAATACCCCAGATTTCTTCAGAACTAGCTGACAGAAAAATGATATCTGTAAAGGAAGAATTTTAAGAAAAATAGAAACAATGGGCAATGAAAGAAAATGGCTGATCTTAATTAGGGGTCAAGTGTCTTCATTAAAACATGGATAGCAATTGCAAAGATCTTAACAGATATATAAAAAATTATGCAGTTTTAGTTATTACAACTGAAAGTCTGTTTATTTCACCCTTTGATGAACATTGTGCATGTCTCTTTTAATCTACACAATGTTTCATGTTTATCTTGTTCACTGTGTCGCAGTGTGCCCAATCACCACTCCCACCTTTTTGTAAACAACCCCGGATATGCCTGCTGGTAGAGAAAGGTCATGACCCTTGTGTGCTAAAAATAGCAACGACATCCTTTCAAACTGACAGAAACACAAACACACAAAACTCAATTTTCACCACTAAACAAAAATAAAAGACCTTTAATTTTGAACCGAAATTAATTTAAATACAGTCAACAAACACCAAACACACTTTTGACTGTAATTAATATGGCCCGAAATTAATTATATTCATTTACTTGTTAAGCGTCACTGCTTCTCTTGTATGAACCATCATATCTAGATGCCCGAGACTTCACAGCGGTTTTTGGCCGGCCAGGGAGCCTTCCTGAATCGCGACTTTGACACGCCCAGTCAAGTCAACCAAGCCCAGCAGCAGCTGACGGGACCCAGTAGCAGCAGTTGTTCAAACAGTCCTTTTCAGGGCTAACTTCTGAAAGTCATTCAAGGCTCCACTCACTTCACTCTCTGCTACTGCTTGCCCTCTGAGACACCAGCTCACTCCTGCAGTTACCAGCAGTCTTCAGCTCGCTCCTGCAGCTTCCAGCTCACTCCAACAGTTTCCAGCTCACTCCTGCAGCTTCCCGCAGTTTCCAGCTCACCCCTGCAGCTTCCAGCAATCTCTGGCTCACTGTTCCCGAACAAACGACCTCTGTCGCCTTACCACCCACTGTTCACAAATAAAGACACGATTTCCATCGTCTACAACGGACCATCTGCGTTTGTCATCCATCTTTGCTATTGCCAACTCCTTGCCTTTGTGTCCCCTTTTTTAGTTGTACGGGCGATTGGCACTCACACCTCTTGGCCCACTGCAACAACTGAACAACATGAAACTATCATTGGCCTATCAACTTCACATTTCATATCCTGTTTTTTGATAAACCCAACATAAAATCCACTATAGATCAGTAAACAGAAGAATGATCATCCTATCAAAAATCCTTTCCAATAATCACATTAAAAACATCCAAGTGACATTGACATGACAATGACCAAGCACTTTCAATCATCAGCAGCAGAGTAATAAAAAAAAAAAAAAAAAAAAAAAGGTCAGTATTAGATTTAGGAGACAAGAGATAGCAAAGACCCTCTACTACATAACACAAGAAAGTGAATTTTCTGAACATTTCAGTGTCTATTCACATTAGCTTCAGAACAGTATTATTTGGAGATTGATACAAATAAATATTGAAATATTACAAAAATCATATATACAGGGTGTCCCAAAAAAAAAAAAAACAGGTAATTTTAGATTTCTTATATGATGAAAAAAATCAACTAACATATAAAAAAAAAATTAACTCTGTATTTTACTATATGAATGACTAAAAAAAATTAACATAAATTTTTTAACCATTTCAGGATGCCGCAGTTATCAAATTTTCAGCACAAGGAGATTGTTCTCTTTAAAAAAGAATATCCAAGTAGAAAACAGAAAAAAAATGCCAATAAATTTTGCCAGAGTTCTTTAGTTTGAACACATAACATTTGTGTTTTTGTTCTGTTTCAAGCTATTAAATTTCTATTCTTTGCTTTTGTTTCAAAAGTAACAAACTAACAAAAGTTCCAACAATTAAATAAACTGTACCAAATTTCCTGCTTTTTTTTGTGGGGCACCCTGTATATTGGTATTTTGCCTCAGAATGATTGATCTGCAACCATTTATTTATTTTCATTCATTGGGAGTAATCAGTACAAATTAATAAATGCTTTTCTTACCTGGCACATCATTCTCAATTTTTTCTTTTGATAATGAAACATGCACCTGAGAAAAGAATACACATAAGATTATATAAAACTAGCAGTAGAGCCCGGCGTTGCCCGGGGATGTAACAGTAAGAGATAGATCAAGTATCGACCATCATAAAGACTGAAAAATAAAATTGACAAAGATTATTGTTTAAGGTTGACGGACACGCATGTCTTAATTAGTTTTTTTTTGTTTTGTTTTTTTTTTACGAATTGGTCAAACCCAAACTCAAATCAAAACATTGTTTACAATCATTATGAGTCTATTGATTGATGAATAGAATTTTATTATAAACAATTGTCTTGTAAATGGAATTTTAAAGCATTCTGAATGTAAAAAAATAAAAAAAAAATGTGCAAGACAATAAGAAACACTACATGCCAAAAAACAAAGTGAAGTTTTGTTGAAATCAGTTGAAAAATGTAGGTAGCCTTTCTCTAATCTTTTTACAATTTATGATTTTTACTTATTGAATACAGTAAAAAAAATTGCATATTTTGCTTGTGGTGATTCATAATTAGAATTCTGATTTGAATATATTTTCCTTTTCGTTGTTTCTAATACAAAAAATATTAACTTTATTTGGGTTTATTAATTTATTACAAGGTAAGTACTGTGTTCTTTCCTTAATAATTATCATCTTCGAAATATTGTTGTTTTTTATGGAATTTTTAAAGCATTCTGAATGTAAAAATAAAGAAAAAAGTGTGCAAGACAATAAGAAACACTACCTGCAAAAAAAAAAGTGGATGTTTGTTTTATTGGCTGAAAGATGTAAGAAATCCGATCACATATATAAAGAAACACACACACACACACACACACAACCTGGGTTTTTTAACCCGATGTGAGTTGTCCCCCTTTCATTCTCACAAATTGATTTTGTTAAAAAACAATTGTGTTTTTCCCATTTTCGGCACCGTTAGAACCACCACAAGGTAATTTTATGTAGTCCTGTGAAGTTTTGTTGAAATCTGCTAAAAAATGTAGTAAATCCGATCCAATATATAAACGTTACAGACACACACACACAATCTGCGTTTTATAATAAGTAAGATTATGATCTTATTTATATTTGACATAAAAGTTTTTAGCTCTTTTTGATAAAATCTTATAAATTCATATAGGAAGTGGACTGTACTGAGACCTTTTCTGCAACCACTTATGTGTGTGATATACAGAGTGACTCCCCATTTTAAAATACTTATAATTTATTAACTATAATTTTTACAAGAAATGGATATGAGAGGAAAGTGTTTAGCATGAGGTTTTATTTAAAATTAGATATGGCCAACAGATTTCACTATCAGCTTTTTGAACTGCCCATGAATTGTGTCAAGTGATTTCACCAGAAACTCTTGTGGTATGGAAGACTTGTATTCAAGTTTTTCCAAAGTTTTGCTTTGGTATAGTAGACTTGCTCCTTTAACCAACCACAAAAAAAAAAGTCACAGGCTGTTAAGTCAGGACTCATGGCTGGCCACATATACTTAAAATAGGAGTTACTTTTCAATCACCCTGCATATTAGGGATGAATTTAAATTAATGCCTCCTATTCATTTCCAGACACTACAACAAATAAAGGGAATACTATAAAACTGTTGGATAGAATATAAATTTTCAGTTACAAAAAAAATATATTTTTCCACTATTGGCTAGGCATTTTTGAGGTGCACTTAATTTCGTGGATTGACAGACATATAGGGCCACCTGGAACATGGCTTGTCATTTAAATTGCTGTTATCACTGATGAAATGTATTAACCACCACCTAACTCTACTCACATCTACTGTTTAGGTTTCATAAATGTTCAGCAAGTACTGATAAATATCAATTGATGCAATTTTTTTTTCAGCATGGAAGAACTCAATGATATTCACTTTCATGTCAGATGCCATTTTCCCAGATTGTTATTATTTGTAACAATGCAAAAATAATAGGTTATTTATTGAAAAGTTTAGCTACTATTGCTCTGCCTCAACATCTGCCTCTAATTTTCATAAAGTAGCATAATAAAATAAGAATGATTTCTTTCAGAACAATCATTGTATGTGCACACATGCCCTTCTGAAGATATTTTGACTGCATTTTACCCAGTTTTGAATAAAATATAAAAAACAATCATTTAATTACAATGGAATAATTTTTTAGCATATCTGTCAAGATGAGCTGTTTTTGTAACACATCGCATAGGATTTATTAAACAAATATGAAAAAACTTACATTCAATCTCATGATTACATGTCCAATGACACAGAAAATTCAGATGGTTGGGAAAAAAATTAAAAAAAAAGAAAGAAAGAAACCATAACAGTTGTATTTTAGCAGTGGCTGAATACAGTATGTATAGTCATGGTCTTTACCCACTGACTATACCACTATTCCTCAATAACTTCAATTTAGTTATTTTCTGTATTAACAAATTCAGTATTTAGGGGAAAATTAGATGCTTAAATATCATTTTTGTAAATTTTTACCTGAAATTTGACTGTTGAAACTTTCTAAAAGCAATCTGTAATGTATTCAAAAACCTAGAAAAATTAGATTGTCAATAGTTAGAAATTAATGTAAGTATCACTAATAGAATAATGTATAATATCCAAGAATATTATTACTCCAAAATGTACCTCAAATAAGTTAGGTCAGTTCAACTAATGAACCAGTAAAATTGAACATAATACTTATCTTAAACATCATACTTATCTTAAACATTGCTAATGTGGATTTGTTTGAATTTTAAAGCTTTTTATCAATAGAATGGTGTGTGTATAACATTATCCTCACTCTGGCCTCTTGATGCTAGGTAGTTGATATTCTCTGCCTACCTTATTTTTTAGTTTTACATCTGAAGAAGTCTTCTTACATGACATTGGGGGGGAAGCATCCCCAAGAATAAAGTAAGTTATAAGAAAAAGGAAGTGCATTTCAGGACAGAAAACAGACTTGCTTGTAGAAACAATAACAGATTTTATTTGTGAAGGGTTAAAGTTATTAGTTTAACCTTTTACAATTCTATGGTACTGCGGTCTGTCTAACTATGACTGGCTGCTGAGTTAGTAGATGTGGGCATTATTCACAACATCTCACAAAATTAGTTATCTCCACTAATTTGCTGAAAAAACTATACCATAATGAAAAAAGGCCCCAAACTTGATAAAAACAAAATGTTTGTTATTATTAAGAAGAAAAACCAAAGTATTTTTTAATTATTTTATTAAAGTTTTTAATCCTTTCTAGCATGTTCAAAATTTTGGTTAAAAATCTTGTTTTACTTGCATCAACTGGAGGGGGGCAAAGATTAGTATAGAAAATTTTAGCATCTTTTTTGCAGTAAAAAAGACATTACAAAAATCAATTAATTTTAATGAAATTTCTTGGACTTATTCACAATTAAAAAAATTCTTTTAGAAAATGTCGGTAAAAATGTTTTTTTTTTTTTTACATCTACTACTCCCCCACTTACTTAATTTTATGAAATTCACCCCCTTCATATTTGTATTAGTTAAAACAGGACTCCTTGGAGAATTTAAATCATCAGATTTTTTTTTTTTGTAAAATAGAAACACCATTTACCAAAAATCTGCTCTGAATCGTAAAATAAAAAAAATGTAATAAATCTAGGATATTATTTAATTAGAAAAGCTTTTAATTACTTTTAAAAATAAGATATATTAAGAACACTATTGTCTCAAGAAAATATTTTTTTGATGAATAATGAAGTTTTACAAGAATTGTTTTCTGTATTAATTTCACCCTTTTAGATGATATTATTATTATTAACTAAAAAACTTAATCATAAATGGAAAAACTTAATGCAAATCATCAAATGGCTTTTTCAAATTTAAAAGAATCTTGAATGTTTTGTATGTATATAAACTTGCTGATTTTTGTAGATACGAAGGGTCATTATCAGAAAATAAGAGCAAAAACTATAGTAAATTAGATTACAGAGAATATTTTCTTAAAACCCATAGAACAACAATAAATAGATGCCCTTGCATGAAATACTGCTGTCATATATGGCCTGGAGCCTCCGCTGTTCATCTTAAAATCCAGAAACGGATATGCAATGTGATTGGCCCTGATCTAGCATCTCACATGCTGTCACTTCCCTCTGTCTTTTCTACACAGTAACTGCTCCGATGAGCTACTTTCGCTAGTTCCCAAACTGCATGAATTTAAACGTGCTACTAGTTTGGTATCTCAGTCCCACCCTTTCACTGTCAAAATGGTTAAATGTAGCCATCTCTTCTACTCCAATAGCTTCATTTTTTGCACTGCCCATTTGTGGAACTTCCTTCCTCTTACTTGCTTCCCTGATAGTTATAATCTTCAGCTATTCAAATGCAATGTCAATTGACATTTCCAGATGCCTTGATCTATTCCCCATCCTTCTCTTCATCCTTTCCTCTATCACACCTCTTTACTCTTGTTCCCCACTCTCTGTAATCCTTTGCGTGCTAGTGGCACTCCTGCCTTGCTTAAAAAAAAAACATCAAGCTGTCAAACATGTCAACAGCTTAAATAGTCAGCTACAGTTGTTAAAAAATGCATTTCTGCAATATTTTAAACTTAAATAATATTTGTTTCAAATCAGATTAATTGTACTTTAAATCAGCTAATATTCCTCAAAGTTTCAGAAAAGTATATTTTATTTTTGGAAGATTTTTTAATAAAGAGAATTACATTGCAATAAACATGGACTAAAAAATGGCACTAAAATCAAATTTTTTTACAAAATAAAAACTCCTTCCAGTCAATTTAAATTAGTTTTGCAATAGAGCAAAGTATTTTGCTTATTGGGAATATTAAATTTAAACTTGAAATTAAAACTGAAATAAAAACTTCAATAAAGATTTTTCATTTTTTAAAATTCATTTTAAGCCTTAGATATCATGAATTAGTGTAGGTACCTACATAAAATCAACAGCAACTCCTGAAACTGGTGACTGATAGTTCAACAATTCAATCAAAGAACTTTGGTCTGCAGAGAAATTTGATCTCTAAAACCTGGT